GAAAAAACTATGTATGGATTTCAAAATTTTTTATAATAATTCCATTTTCCCACGAACTTTTTGAAGTCCCGTTATATGCTTCTGGTCAGTTTCAGAGCCCTTAATCACTGCTTTTGACCATTTTATCTTTTTTTTTTGGGGGGGGGGGATGATTTGCCAAGCTGCTCACTCTGATACTAAAAGTTCCATTTCATAATTCTGTTTTTCTCAAAGTTTATTTTCTTGAAAGAGTGACACACAGAGATCTTCCATTTGCAGTTCACCCCTTAAATGCCTACAGAAGCTGGGCTAGGCCTGGCTCAGCCTGGCTCAAGCGAGGAGCCAGGAGCTCCATCTGAGTCTCTCAGGTGGGTGGCAAGGACCCAAGTAGTTAAGCCCTCATCTGCTGCCTTTCAGGGTGCACATCAGCAGGAAGCTGGATTGGAACAGAGGTGAGACTCATCCCAGGCATTCAGATATGGGATATGGGTGTCCCAAGCAGTAGCTTATCCTGCTGTATTACAATGCCTGCTCTCATTTTCTGTTATTATGTTGTCTTTGTCATGTTTTAGCATCTAGATTATGCAGACCTCATGAAATGATTTGTAAGTGTTCCTCCTGTGTGTTTTAGAAAAAAACTGTGTAACTTAACTTCTCACCTGGGCTGAAAGCTTCTCTGTGTGAGAGTTGTTTACTTTCTTTAATAGTTTTATAATTCATAAATGTAATGACATCATAAAAGTATAACTGTATTTATAGTCACCCATCCTTTGAGCTATCTTTATATATCTTACACATCTTACACACCCACACTTTACCCATGATATACACATTAAATACAGATATACTTCTTGCTTTAATCAGCCAGCTATTCTTTAAAGAAATAACAAAAAATATACTTTCATATTTTCTATTAAAAATTTTTTTTTTATTTGACAGATAGAGTTACACAGAAAGAGAGAGAGAGACAGAGAGAAAGGTCTTCCTTCCATTGGTTTACCCCACAAATGGCCACTACGGCTGGAGCTACACCGATCCGAAGCCAGGAGCCAGGTGCTTCCTCCTGGTTTCCCATGCGGGTACAGGCGCCCAAGAGCTTGGGCCATCCTCCACTGCACTTCCGGGCCATAGCAGAGAGCTGGACTGGAAGAGGAGCAACTGGGACTAGAACCCAACACCCATATGGGATGCCGGTGCCGCAGGCAGGTGATTAACCAAGTGAGCCACAGTGCCGGCCCCTCCATTTATTTTAAAGGTTTTATTTGAAAGAGTTATAGTCCATCAGGACTGGTGTTGTGGCACAGCAGGTAAAGCTGCTGCCTGCAGTGCCAGATCCCACATGGGTAACAGCTGGTGTCCCGGCTGCTTCACTTCCAATCTGGCTCCCTGCTAATGTGCCTAGGAAAGCAGTGGAAGATGCTCAAGTGCTCCTGCGCCCACATGGAAGACCAATTTGAAGCTCCTGGCTCCTGGCGCAGACCTGGCCATTGCGGCCATTTGGAGAGTGAGCCAATGGATGGAGGATGTTTTTCTCTCTTTCTCTTTAACTCTGCCTTTCAAATAAATAAGCAAATCTTTTTTAAAAAATATGTTAAGAAATAAATACTCAAAGGACAGAAAGATTAATTCATTCCCTTAGAATAAAATCTAGATTCTTTCCAATGTCCTGTCCTACCTCTTGGATCTCATTTGTGCTTTTCTCCCCTTGGTTCAGCATCCTTCAACCTCCCTGAGCCTTGCTCATTTCCAAGAAGACACCAAACTCTTTCCCTTGGGAACACAAAGCTCTTATTCTCCTTGGATTTTCTGCATAAGTTTCTGGTTACCTGTCTGGAAAGTTTTCTCATTTCACATGGTTAGCTCCCCAATCTTTAAGTCTCAGAACTACCTGACCTCATAACCCTAATTAAAGTGAATCACATTTACAATTTTAAGCACCCTGTGGTCTCCCTTATTACATTTTGTATTTTATTTGCATTTATCTACTTCCCTCATTAGTCTACTGAATCGTAAGTCTCACTCACTTCATTTTCCCATGGCTGAGTAAAGTAACAACGAATGTGTTCAAACAATATTTGTTGGGGCTGGTGCTATGGTGCAGTAGGTTAATACTCTGCCTGCGATGCCAGCATCCCATGTGGGCTCTGTTTCTAGTCCCGGTTGCTCCTCTTCCAATCCAGCTCTCTGGGAAAGCAGTATAAGATGGCCCACGTCCTTGGGCCCCTGCACCCACGTGGGAGACCCAGAAGAAGCTCCTGGCTCCTGGCTTCGGATCGGTGCAGCTCTGACTGTTGCAGCCACTGGGGAGTGAGCCAACGGAGGGAAGACCTTTCTCTCTGTCTCTCCCTCTCACTGTCTGTGATTCTGCCTCTCAAATAAATAAATAAAATCTTTAAAAAAAATTTGTTGAGTGAATGTTAAAAACTCAAAACTCAAATATCCGATGTAAGGAAAGCTACAATTATGATAAGCTAACACAGGGATATATAACTTTTCTAACTGGTAGATAAGAAGGTAGTAAAGAAAATGTCTATATGAAATAATGACAAATGAAAAAAATGAGCCACAGAATAGTATGCAAATGTATCATACAACCATTTAAGAAAAGTATATATACATTAAAAATGATTGGGGGGGGGGGGCGCTGGCACTGTGGTGTAGCAGGTAAGGCCGCTGCCTGCAGTGCCAGCATCCCATATGGGTGCTGCTTCAAGTCCTGGCTGCTCCACTTCTGATCCCGTCTCTGCTATGGCCTGGGAAAGCAGTGGAAGATGCCCAAATCCTTGGGCCTCTGTACTCAAGTGGGAGACCTGGAATAAGATCCTGGCTCCTGGCTTCAGATCAGCGCAACTCCAGCCATTGCGGCCAATTGGGGAGTGTACCAGCAGATGGAGGACCTCTCTTTTTCTCTCTCTCTCTCTCTTTGCCTCTCCTTCTCTCTCTGTGTAACTCTTATCAAGTAAATAAATAAATCTTTTTAAAAAAGTATAAAAAAAGAATGGAACATAATTCATGGTAATGATAATAGTTTAATAATTAACAGGTTTTTTTTTGTAAAGAAAGCAGGCTGCTAATTATAATACTGTATAAATTCAGTACTGTGGAAAAGCGCTCACAAAATAATAAATACAGAAATAGAGCATAATACTGTAGGCACACCATGATTTTAAATAGGTCAAATTAAATGCAGATGGAAAGAAGATACAGAAATAAAAATATCTACTACATCAAGGTGACAACATTATACATAAAATTTGTCTTTTAAATTTTCTTTTAAGGTTACTGATTTTTTTTAAAGATTTATTTATTTTTACTTGAAAGAGTTACACAGAGAGAGAAGGAGAGGCAGAGAGAGAGAGAGAAAGAGAGAGAGAGAGGGAGGGAGGGAGGGAGGGAGGAGAGGTCTTCCATCCACTGGTTCATTCCCCAATTGGCTGCAACGGTTGGAGCTGCGCCAATCTGAAGCCAGGAGCCAGGAGCTTCTTCCAGGTCTCCCATTCGGGTGCAGGGGCCCAAGGACTTGGGACATCTTCCACTGCTTTCCCAGGCCACAGCAGAGAGTTGGATCAGAAGTGGAGCAGCTGGGACTCGAACTGGTGGCCATATGGGATGGTGACACTAGGATGTGGCTCTACCCGCTACGCCACAGCACAGGCCCCAAGGTTACTGGTCTTTTAAAAATAATATTTTATAATGGAAGATAGCCAAAAATAAATAAAAATCACTCATTATCTCATCACTTGATTAATAACAAATGAATAAGATTTTGGGTTAATATTCTTAATGTTAGGACTTGCTAGGTCTTTGGGACACAAATGGTTAATTTTGGACCTGGCACAAGCAAAATGACCCTGAGAATAGCAAGGTGGTATTTTATTGCCCAAGATTCCAAAAGCTCGACTCTGATGTTTACAGCTCCTTGCAGGGACATCCTGAGCTTGTAGGACCATACAATGTACTTTGTTGACTCTGAACACCTGCCAAGTAGGCTTTCTGTCCTCTCAGATCCAACTTATCACGTCCACATGGCCCCTCCCAACAAGCACCATAATGAGGCTGCTGCTCACCGCCTGGTGGCTTGAACACTCACACCAGCGTCCCTGCCCACTCTCCTGGTGGGCTGCATTCCTACCTCCAACTCCACTATGCTATACTTTCTACAATAAAAAAGTCTTCTGCTTTAACTGGCTTCCCTCACCTTCTTCAAACTCTAAAATCCTAAAACCTAACATTTAGGCCTTTTATAAAAATATGAGCAGGGGCTAGCACTGTGGCGTAGCAGGTAATGCCACTGCCTGCAGTGCTGGCATCCCATGTGGGCACTGGTTCAAGATCCAGCTGCTCCACTTCTGATCCAGCTCTCTGCTATGGCCTGGGAAAGCAGTGGAACATTGCCCAAGGCCTTGGGCCCCTGTACCCATGTGGGAGACCCAGAGGAAGCTCCTGGCTCTTGGCTTCCGATCAGCACAGCTCTGGCTGTTGTGGCCAACTGGGGAGTGAACCAATGGATTGAAGACCTTTCTCTCTCTCTCTCTGTGTAACTCTGACTTTCAAATAAATAAATAAATTTTAAAAATAATCAAAAATTACTACACTAAACATACTATTTTTAATCTACTTGTTTTCATTTAACAGTATGTCATAAACATTTTCCCAGCCTATAATAGCTTAATAATAAACTTCCAAACACATTTTAAACAACAAAGTAGTGTTATTGGTGAAGTAGCTCATTAGTGGACTGAGCATGGCAAGAGGAACAGATCTGGAGCCCAGATCCACACCAACCTGCAACTGTCTAATTCGGACACGAAGCATCTCTAAGGCTTAATTGCTGAATCCACAAAACAGTGAAGAAAGGTGAGAATCAACATTTCTTTACAATTAACATGAAATGTGGTTAATATTAGTATAAAAATGTAAAAAATAATGCAGGAAAATGAAGGAATTAAATAATATCCACAAATCCTAACTCCCAGAACAGTTTCCCAAATACTCCATCAGAGTGATGACATACAACTCACACCATATCCCCAGGAGAAGTCCGAGCTGCCTTCAGTAGATATCCCTGTGCCTGTATAACTTGGAAAAGCAGACCTTGAATTCCCAGTGTCAGTTGATGTAGAAGGTGATTCTTGTGTGAAGTCAGACTCACTGCATGTACAATTTGGGAAGAGGGAAAAAAACAGGAAAATTCTCATATTTCTTCAAGTTTCCATATAACTATTTGGCAACTTATCAGGTAACAAGCATAGTAGAAACAAAAATATATGTAAAATGTATCTCTACAGAGGCAAAAATAAATGAAGCACTTGAAATCTACACATCACTAAAAAGTCCTTCTTAATTCCTGTAGAATTGGTGACAGCCATTCCAAATATTTTGTAACAGTTTACAATAACTTCTTTAACATTCCACATATAACTTATACTCTTTATAAATACATTTCATAAATGTTAACAATAATATCTGAATTTGTATGGCACTTTAATATCTTTTTACAGATATTAACTTCATTTTATCCTATTAACAACCTGGTGATATAGAACTCAATTCCATGTTAAAAATCAGAGAATCTGAGGTTCTAGGTTTTAAAACTAGGCTTTATGCCTTTAAAATTTTTCTATGATAATATAAAGCTTCCCAGAACCCTCTTTGAAGATATGGTCTCCTCTATTTCTTAGAATGGTAATTGCAGCTAATGTTTATTCAGAATTTACTATATGCCAGTGTGCCAAGTTTTACATAGCTTGTCTCATTTACAACATCCTAAAAGAGTTATATTATCAATTAAGTCACTTGCTCTGTGATACTCAATTAATAAGGATCAGGATCAGGATTAAAAATCAGATGTCATGCCCTGAGTCCATGTTCTTACAAACTTCATTATACTACTTCTTCAAGGTTATAAAATTAGTTATGCTGCTGTTGCCATAGGCTGTTCCAGAATGAAAACTGAATGGTACTGAATGCATGTGATATGAATTCTTGGCTTGTTTTAAGAGCCAGGTTCAATACAAAAAAAAAAAAACCTTTGCCATCAGCAAGTGCAATAAGCAAACAAGTCTACTTTGTGTTAGTACCTCTGGGAACTGGTATCTTTTTCATGGCTGTTACTGGCAGGGAAAATTTCATCCAGCTGCTCTGGAAGGGGATGATGATTAAGAGCATGTTTTGTTACTCCTTTCCTGTAAAAGATAAAACACAGGTATATTTCCTATAATGGAAAAACATACTTTTCAGAAATTTGATCTACAAGTTAATACTTTCTGCTGCTCTGTAACTGTACTGTCCAAAATGGTAGCCTAGCAGTAAAAATGTGGCTAGTCAGAATTAACTGTTCTAAGTGTATAATTCACAGGATTCTGAAGTCATATTACAACAAAAAGGATGTATAATATCTTATTCTATTATCAATTGCTTTTTTTTTTTTTTTGACAGGCAGAGTGGACAGTGAGAGAGAGAGACAGAGAGAAAGGTCTTCCTTTGCTGTTGGTCCACCCTCCAATGGCCACCGCGGCCGGCGCACAGCGCTGATCCGAAGGCAGGAGCCAGGTGCTTCCTCCTGGTCTCCCATGCGGGTGCAGGGCCCAAGCACTTGGGCCATCCTCCACTGCACTCCCTGGCCACAGCAGAGAGCTGGCCTGGAAGAGGGGCAACCAGGACAGAATCCGGCACCCCGACCGGGACTAGAACCCGGTGTGCCGGCACCGCAAGGCAGAGAATTAGCCTACTGAGCCGCGGCGCTGGCCTCTATACATTGTTTTTTAAAAAAGATTTACTTATTCGAAAGGCAGTCACAGAGAAACAGAGGCAGAAAGAGAGAGAAAGAGAAAGAGAGGTCTTCCATCCACTGGTTCACTCCTCAGATGGCCACAATGGCTGGAGCTGGGCTGAGTTAAAGCCAGAAGCCAGGAATTTCTTCCAGGTCTCCCACATGGGTGCAGGGGCCCAAGGACTTGGGCCATCTTCTACTGCTTTCCCAGGACATAGGAGAGAGCTGGATAGGAAGTAGAGCAGCCAGGACTTGAATCAGCACCTATATGGTAAGCTGGCACTGTAGGTGGAGGCTTTACCCACTATGCCACAGGACCAGCCCCTATCAATTAGATATTAAAATAATATTTTAGGCATACTGGGTTAAATAAAATATATTTAAAAATTCATTTCATTGCAAATTTAAAGGAGTAGGATATTGCCACACAGCTATTAGAACAGGTAAAAAAAAAAATAGTGGTGACACCAGATGAGGATGAGGATGCAGACAAACCAGATGTCTCATACATTGCTGGTAGAAATGTCAAATGGGACAGCCACTCTACAATAGTTTGACAGTTCTTATAAAATGAAACACATGCATTAACCAAAAGACCTACCAGTTGCACTCTTAAACAGTTGAGCCCAGGAAAAAGAACACTCAGGTTTAAAAAAGAAAAACCTGTACACAAATGTTCACCATAATTTTACTGTGATTGAAAACAACTAGAAAAACCCAAATGTTTTTCAACATGTGAACAAATTTTGGTATAGCCACACAATGGAATATTATTCAGAAGTAAAATGAAATGAACAATTTTTTTTTTATTTGACAGAGTTAGACAGTGAGAAAGTTCTTCCTTCCGTTGGTTCACTCCCCAAATGGCCACTACAGCCAGATCTACGCCGATCCGAAGCCAGGAACCAGCAGTTTCTTGTGGGTCTCTCACATGGGTGCAGGGGCCCAAGGACTTGGGCCATCCTCCACTACTTTCCTGGGCCACAGCAGAGAGCTGGACTGGAAGAGGAACAGCTGGGACTAGAACCCGTTGCCCACGTGGGATGCCGGCACCGCAGGCGGAGGATTAGCCAAGTGAGCCACGGCACCAGCCCCATGAAATGAACTATTAATACCTGCAACTACCTTCATGGATCTCAGGGGCATCATACTTAGTAAAAAAAAGGCAAAGCCAATTGCAAAATGTTACATATTATATGCAGGGTCTTCACAAAGTTCATGGAAAACACATATTATGAAAAAAATTATGCAGGGATTTCAGAATTTTTTTGTATCAAGATAAACTTATTTTTATAAAAACATTCATTTGAAAGTAAGAGACAGATAGAGCTAGCTCCCACCTGCTAGTTCGCCCTCCAAATGCATGTAACTGCAGGAGCTGGGCTGCAGTCAGGAGCTGAGAACCAGAACACAACCCAGGTCTCCCATATGAGCAGCAGAGACACAATGACCTGAGCCATCATTGCTGTTTCCCAGGTCTGCATTAGCAGGAAGATGGAGTGAGGAGCCAGGGTTGGATATCAAATGTAGGCACTCCAGGATGGTATACAGTCTCTTAACTGGCATCTTAACTGGTAGGCCAAATGCCTGGCCCCATTTATCTCTTAAATCCATTTGTCCATGAAGTTTTTGAAGTACCCTCATATGATCCATTTATATAATGTTCACAAATGACAAAACTATAGATAGGGAGAACACATTAGTGGTTGCCAGGGTAGAGATAGGAGTGAATTTGGTTGTAAAAGGGTACCCAAGGAAGTTCCTTTGTGGTGATGAAATGTCTGTATCTTGATTGCAGTGGTGGTTATACCATTCTATAAATGGATTGTGTATACACAAACATGTAGACAGGAATGGATGTACAAACTGAATAATGTCTATAGTCAGCTGTATTAGAGCAGTATCAGTCTCTTAGTTTTGAAATTATACTAGTTACATAAGATGTCACTAGGGGGAACCTGGGTGAAGGGTTCATGGTACTCTATGTACTATTTTTTCAACTTCCTGTGAATCTATAATTACTTGAAAGTAAGAAGGCAACTTTTTCTTTATGTGTTTTTCCTTATTTTCATGTGACCAACCTGAAAATGTAATCTGTATGTGTCTAACATATTTCCATGCTATGCTACGGCTCTAAAGAGTTCAACATGAAGTAGACTTTTGCATAGTAGTTAAGATGCTGTTTAGGATGCCTGCATCCCATATCACAGTCCCTGGGTTCAAGTTCCAACTTTGCTTCCAATTCAGCTTTCTATTAATGTGCACCCTTGGAGGCAGCTGGTGATAGCTCAAGTAGTTGAGTCCCTGCCACCCATGTGGGAGACCTGAATTGAGTTCCTGGCTCCTGACTTAGACCTAGCACAGCCCTATCTATTGTGGGCTTTGGGGAGTGAGCCAGCAGATGGAAGAGCTCTGTCTCTCTGCCTTTCAAGTAAATAAATAATTTTTCAAAAGAGTCCAATGTGTACACTGAAATAAGCTAGGGAATCAATTATTATATACTCTGGTCTTAATGAACTATGGATTTTCCTTCCTCACAGATTTCTGTAGTTGAATAAATGTAGGCATCATGATAGATAAATAAAGTTATACACTTTTCTTTACAGGAGATCTCCCCAGGGTCTTTAATATGCAAATACATATTATAAATCTCTAATATTCTTATATCACAGGAAAGGAAACTGAAGTACAGAGAGATTATGTAACCTGCTTATGAGCATAAGGTTAATAAGTGATGGAATCAGGATTCAAATACAAGCAGTTCGGCTTCAAGGCTTCTCAACGGAAATGAACAGTTTGAGATTCTAGCAAATTGTACCATTTTTGTTATATAAAATTAAAGGCTCAGGCATTGAAGCTTTTGATTATTTCTCTGATGATAGAAATGGATTTGTGGAGAGCCATCTCATTCAATGATCTTACAGTAACAGCCTATCTTTGAAAAAGTGGTCAGAATAGAAATACAGATTTCAGCTATAAGATAGAGATTGAAGACATGTTTTAATCTATCAGGGAAATTGAATATGAAGTGACAATTAGATAATAACAAGGAAATACCGTTAAATTTGATGATAGCATTGCTATTACATAAGAAAATGTCACTAATTTTTGGAGAGGCATGCTGATGTATACAGGGGTAAAATGATAATCTGAAATTTCATCTGCCTTGTTTCACAGAGGCTACAGAAAAATATAAAGATAGATGAATCTAATATATTAAAACCTTGATAACTTGTATGTGGTCCATTATAATATGAGTGGTCCATTATATTATTCTCTATTCATCTGAAATTTTTCATTAAAAAATAATAAGCAGTTGAAAATCACTCTTCTCCAAACGTTTACAATGTGTAAGTGTTGGGAGAAAACTAAAGTTACTGCTTCAAAATAGCTTATCATTATAATATCTGAAGTAAAAACTGCTTTAATTTACTGTCATTTATATGTATTGTACCTTCCTTATTTACTACATCATGACTCCAGCTAGAGAATTCTCTTTTGGGAGAGTTTTTAGGGAGTATCAGTCAACACTCAAGAATAAGTAGTGTAACTCTGCTGGGTCAATAATTTTGACCTCCTAAGTGCCTACCAACATTTTTTATACATGATTTTTCCTGTCAGAGTGGGTTGGAATTAAATATAAAAGCAGATTTTTAGCTAAGCTTTTTATTGAGAAATGATTATTTCTTTGCTTTAGTGTCTGAATAACTTACTATCTGCATTGATATAGTGTAGAAATCTTATTTCTTAACAGATACTAAGGTTCTGAAAGGCAAGGAGTGTGGTTAGCCTTATTTTCTTTGTCTATTGTATGTCTATTGTCCCAAGTAAAGGTGAGAAGGGACAAGGAAATCACCATTTCCTGCAGCCTATTATGTATTAATCCTGACCCAGTCACTTAGATGTGCTTTTCTCACATGGCAGAAATGAAGGCTCGGCTTTAAGTAATTTGCCTACAAATCACATGGCTAGAAAAGAGCCTAGCCAGAAACATAATATGCTTACTATTACCATGGATTGTCAGGATTTAACTAAAATGCATGGTGAGCATCACGGACACCAGGTTAAGCTGCTCCTGGCATGCCCACATCCTGTCATCAGGACACCTGGGATTAAGTCCACCTCTGATTCGCATCCAGCTTTCCACTACTGCAGCTGGGAAGCAGCAGATTACAGTTCCTGCCACCCACATGGGACCCAGATGAAGTTCCTGGCTCTGGCTCCTGGCTTCTGCATGGTTTAGCCCTGGCTGCTGAGGTCATTTGGGGAGTGAACCAGTGGACAGATATCTCTCTCTTTTTTCTAACACTCTGCCTTTCAATAAATAATAAAGTCTTTTTAAACAATAAATGTATGGTTGCCATAATTATATAATCTTTTATTATTTTTTAGAATTTATTTATTTGAAAGGCATTGTTAGAGAGAGAGAGAGAGAGAGAGAGAGACAATCTTCCATCCACTGGTTCACTCTACAAATGGCTGCAATGGCTGGGGGTGGGCCAGGGCCAGGCTGAAGCTTCTTCTGGGTCTCCCATGTGAATATGCAGGGGCCCAAGGCCTTGGGGCCATTTTCCACTGCTTTCCCAAGTGCATTAGCAGGGAGCTGGATCGGAAGTGGAGCAGCCAGGATGCCTGCATTGCAGGTGGCAGCTTAACAACGCTGGCCCCTGGTTATATAATCTTCAAATGTGTACCCTTTCTGAAAAAATTTCATTTTCTGAAAAACAATATATAATCATGTGTATTTTACAGTAATTATTAACTATCAAAAAGTGTCAATCCTTTTGAAAGTGAAAAGCATTAATGAATATAAGACACTCTACTTGGTACACTTCACTAGTGGGAGGAATTGGGTCTTTAAGCCAGATACATTTCTGAAGTCTCAAAAGCAAAACCGACCCTCACGGCTTCTGAGTAATTGCACAGGGCGGCAGTGTGTGTGATGGTTTAGACCTCAGGCTTCAGAATCAAGAGCTACACTAGGTTTGTGCTTCTCAGCTCGCTGTGTAGTCTGTGGCATGCTACAATCCTTCCTTCTGGGATCTTTATCTGTAGAATGTGCAAAACCGTAGTCCCAATCTAATATCCTTGTCGACAGGATTAAATGCATGCAAACAGCTTTTGCGCGGTGTCTGGCACTAGATAGATTCAACTTAAATGGCCATTGACTGTGGCCTCAGGAAACCCAGTCCCTAAATTCAGAATCTACAGTCCAAGAAGTTGGGCAGGTGCAAGTGACAGGACCCCAGTTGGAGACGGAAGGACAAGGGGCAGCGTCCAGCAGGGCTGGGAGAAGCGAATTCCAAAGAGAATTTTTCTCCCCCCAGCCGTGGAAAAGGAAAGGAGCGCAGGCCTGGCCAAGAAGGGGCCCCGCAGCGCCCGCAGTCCGCCTCAGCCTCCCCCGGCCCCGGCTGGGGTGGCTGAGCAGTCCACTCACAGCTCCAAGCTCTGTGGCACGGCCTTCCGAGTGTATCTGGAGATCATCCTCCTCCTCCTCCTCCTCAGCCGCGGCCGGGGCGGGCACGCCAGGGTGGGGGCCTCCGGGCCTGGCCCTCCCGCCGGCTCCGGCCCGGCCCCCTCCCGCCACCTACCGGCCCCGTCTCGCCCCGTCGCCTAGACTCCGGACTGCCACCTCCCCAGGATCCCCTCCTCTTCAGTCCGCCGACCTCCCAGCGTCCCCGTGGGGGGCGGAAGTGACGTGACAGCCGGGCACCTACCCAATGCTCCGGCCGACGCGCGGCAGTGACGACACCGAAGGTTCCGGAAACTGAGCGGGCGCTAATTTAAAGCGGTTCTCGCTGGCTTGAGCTCCGGCGGGTAGCCGAGCCTGGACCAGGCTGTGGCGGCTGGTGACAGCTTCTCGACCAGCTCACACAGTAGAAGAAGCGGCCGAGGAAAGGTGCCGCCGCAGAGAAGGTGCAGAAGAGGCCCTAGAACCGTAAGCGGATTTGACTTCATTTTGTCAGGTGGAAGGAGGGAGCGTAGGCTGAGCGAGGAGGTCGGGCCGCTGCTGCTTGGTGGCTTCTGTTCCTGTGCCCCGGGCTTTCTCATTTACAGTGAGGCGTTGGCCCGAGTGACCTCAAGCTTCTTCCAGTCCGGACACTCGAAGTCTGAATGATGAAGGGGTGCTTGGTGTTATGGGGTGGGTGTGCAGAAGTATTTGTCCCTGTAGGTTGAAAGGCAGAATGGTGATTGGGACAGACTGTGGTGAGCGGCGTCGGGATAGAAGGTGCAGGTTCTTTCTCAGGGCGTTAGGAAGCCGAGCCAGGGTGAGGGTTCCGGCGCTGCGGTGGCGTGGTCCTCGCCGCCTGTTTGTAAGGAAAGCTCCTCGTTGTATCCCGGGGTGCAGCCTCTGAGACTCGGAAAGGGGGCACGTTTAGGACAGACAGCTAGGAGCAAGAGTCTTGGGCCAGTTATTTTTGGGGTGAGACACAGGACCGGAATGTTCTGCAGTTTTGGGTTTTTCTGTGCCATACACTGTCCATCGTAAGGGGAACAGGTGGATTCTACAGAGCAAGAGAGATTGCTCTTTATTGCACTTAAATAGCAGAACTGGTGGAGTGACATGTCCATCATGCAGTTAAAAAGCCCCAGAAAGAAACACTGAAGTGGCTCAAGTCATGCTACTCATTAGTGATGAGCTGGGACTTACGGTTGTATGTGAACAGTGAATGCCAGTGCAGTGCTTCTCAAAGTGTTAACCCACACCACTGCTAGCACAAGGGCAAACGTGTAAAATTTTAGTGTTACGGACTGTTAATTTGGGAATGTGATCCTGCGTTTTTGCTCATTACATTATACCAAAGTTTAACATACTTTCATATATAAAGAACATTTTTAAATATAAAATGTCATTGAATAAATGTCATTAAATAAATGTTACTGTAGGTGGTACATGGTCAAGGCAAAAGCTATGATGATGGTTTGTGGATAATTGAATTTTGGAAAACAGCCTACATTTTTCTATGTCTGTGATTTATATTATTGAAACTTTAAACATAGTTTTCAAAAAATGGAGGAAAACATGAAGCTTGCCACCGTGGAAGACACAGTGGAGTACCGCCTGTTCCTGATACCAGATGAACGAAGGGACCCAGAAAAGCATAAAGAGATTCTTGAGAAGTCTATTGAAAGGATCATGACCCAGTTTGCTCCCATGCTGGTCTCCTATATCTGGCAGAATCAACCTTTCAATCTCAGATATAAACCTGGGAAAGGTAAAAAAAAATCACCCATACCTCATTCAGCGTTGTCAAGAAGAGAATTGTATCCTTAATTTTTTAGATTAATGATGCTTTCTCATATATATTTGAACCCTTAAACTTAAAATTTTTTTGTTTTATTCATATTGATGAAAACTTTCTAATAGTTATTACCTTAAGAACTGTCATATACTAAACATTACTACATCCATGCCCATTGTTTTGAAAATTACTTTATTATGCCATAATATATCTACGTACACAGATAAATCAGGTTCAGACATTTGGCTTCCTTAATCAGAGTCCTTTTACTATTACTCAGTCTTCCTGAGTTGTTTTGGTGAGGATCTAGGAACAGCTTTTCCTGACTTACAAAGAGAAATAGCTATGCTTTCTGACCATGATTTGCCAGGAGGAAGCATTTTGAGTTTCCTTCACTGCTGCCCTGTGTTGTGGTGTTTGAGATCCAATATTTGGCAAAATATAGCACTGTGTTCTGTGGCTGCTTACAGCTTTATGAGAGTGAGTCGTGGGCGGTGGCCAAAGCTTGACGGCTTGATCACATAGTGATGTATGAGGGCACCTGGTTGAGATCAGGAGCCTGCACTCTTGTCAGACTGGCAGTCGGTCTCTCGGTTTCATGCAGATCTGTTATTGCTAAGTGTCTTCCCTACTGTTTATTTTTTGCTACTTTCCTTTATTTGAGAGACTGTTTGTTTATTTGGAAGGCAGAATGTCAGAGGCAGAGGGAAAGACAAAGAAGAGAGAGAGAGAGAGAGATCTTCCATCTGCTGGTTCATTCCCCAAATGGCTATAACTGCCAGTTTTGGGACATGCTGAAGCCCAGAGCCTGGGATTCCATCAAGTTCTCCTTTGGGCCACCTTCCACTGCCTTCTCAGGTACATTAGCAGAGAGTGGAGTGGCCAGGACTCAACATTTCCAGTGAAACCATCTGGTCCAGGGCATTTCTTTGTTAGGAGGTCTTTGATTATTGATTCCATCTCTTTACTAGTTACAGATTGGGTCAGATTTTTATTTCTTCATGATCCAGATTTGATTGATTGTGTGTTTTTAGAAACGTGTCTGTTTCTCCTAGGTCATCCAGTTTGTCAGCATATAGTTGTTCATCGTATTCTCTTTTAATTCTTGTTGTTTGTGTGGCACAGGTTGTTAATGTCCCTTCTTTCACTTTTGGTTTCAGTTATTTGAGTCTTTGTTTGAAAACAACAAATTACTCTAGTTAATAGTTTATTTTGTTGATGTAGTATATAAAAACCCTCAACTTTGTTTTTCTATTATTTTTCATTTCTGTTTCTTTTATCTTCTGTAATCGTTATTATTTCATTATAATAATCCTGGGTTAAATATAATAACCCTGGATAATCCTGGGTTTTGTTTGTTCTTTTTCTAGTTCTTTGAGGTGTAAAATTAAGTTGTTGATTTGAGATCTTTCACAACTATATATTTCTATTTTAGGGAAGGGAGCGGGGTGAAGGGCTTGAGGGAAAGAACCACTGCATTCCTAAAGTTGCATCTATGTAAAAATGCATTCATTAAATTAGAAAAATGGTATTTTCTACTTTCCCTCGTGATTTCTTCTCTGACTCATTTGTTTAAAGTGTGTTTCATTTCTGTGTATTTGTAGATAGCATACTTGTTCTGAAATTTCTGTTCCATGTAACTGTAGCTTCCTGATATTCCCAGAATATTCAGCTGCCTATTATACCTCTGTGCCTTTGCACATACTCTTCTCCCTGGAGAACTCACCTCTGGTCATTCCCCCAGGAGAGCATAGCTCGAATACCACCTCCTTTATGCTCACATTGCCCTTTGTGCATACTTTGTTCTAGAGTTCGTCGTCTTGTTTCGAGATGATTTTCGTTGTCTATCTCTTGTTTGAGACCCAAGCTCCTCAAGGGTAGGCATCTTATGTCTTGTTCAGGATTGCAGCCCAGGTCCCAGTATAATACTTGGAACATAGTCAGTGAACATTTTATTCAATGGAATGATCAAATGTATGTTTATTTATCTAGTTATATGGTTGCTTTCCTCTTGTTTTTAGGAGATGTTCCTGCTCATATCTTCGGTATGACAAAGTTTGGGGATAACATTGAGGATGAATGGTTTATTGTTTATTTAATAAAGCAGATTACAAAGGAATTTCCAGAATTAGTAGCAAGGTATTGTAATTTTTAAAATTATTCTAAAGGAATTATATTAGTGAATTTAAGTGACTGCTTTATTTATTTATTTTTTAAAGATTTATTTATTTACTTTGAAAGTCAGAGTTACACAGAGAGAGAAGGAGAGGCAGAGACAGAGAGAGAGAGGTCTACCATCCGCTGATTCACTTCCCAGTTGGCTACAACAGCCAGAGCTGCGCTGATCCAAAGCCAGGAGCCAGGAGCCTCTTCCAGGTCTCCCACGTGGGTGCAGGGGCCCCAAGGATTTGGGCCATCTTCTACTGCTTTCCCAGGCCATAGCAGAGAGCTGGATAGGAAGTGGAGCAACCGGGTCTCAAACTGGTGCCCATATAGGATGCTGGCACTGCAGGCGGTGGCTTCACCTGCTATGCCACAGCACCAGCCCTGTGACTACTTTTTTAAAAGATCTATTTTATTTCTTTGAAAGTTAGAGAGAGAGGGAGAAGGATAGAGGGAGAGGTCTTCCATCTGCTGGTTCACTCCCAAAATGGATGCAATGTCTAGGGCTGGGCCAGGCCAAAGCCAGCAGCCAGGAGCTGCTTCTGGGTCTCCCACATGGATGTAGGGGCCCAAGCACATAGTTCATTTTCTGCTGCCTTTCGAGGCACAGTATTAGGGAGCTGGACTGGAAGTGGAGCAGCTGAGACTTGAGACTTGAACCAGCCTCCATAAGGGATGCTGGGGCTGCAGGTGGGGATATAAGCTGCTGAGACACGACATTCTTATCCTTTTTTTGGTGTGTAATGTGGTGAAAACAGTATAAATGTGGCACAGATTTTAAAAGCGCCTGGGTTTTATCCTCTTGAGACTTCTTTTTTTTATAAGATTTATTTATAAGAAAGGCAGAGTTACAGAGAGGCAGAGGCAGCGAGAGAGAGAAAGAGAGAGAGAGAATCTTCCATCTGCTGGTTCACTCCTCAAATGGCTGTAACTAGCAGAACTGGCTTGATCCGAAGCCAGGAGCCAAGAGCTTCTTCTGGATCTCCCACGTGGGTGCAGGAGCTCAAGCACTTGGGCCATCTTCTGCTTTCCCAGGCCATAGCAGAGAACCATATTGGTAGTGGAGCAGCCGAGACCCAAACTGGTGCCCATATGGGATGTTGGCACTGCAGGTGGTGGCTTTACCCACTATGCCACAGCGCCAGCCCTGAGACTTATTTTCTTAAGAAAGAATTAAAATGTTATGGGAGAGTTCATTTCACAAGAGATTTCAAATAAAATCTACTTGTTTTAGGTTTTAAATTCTAACTATGAAAGAACAATTACATGTTAACAAAGTTCAAACAGTACATAAGATTATATTGCTCTAGCTTCTGAGAAGTAATCACTATTAAATTTCTTGTGGACCTTTGGAAAAACTATTTATTTATTTAAAGATTTATTTATTTATTTGAAAGGCAGAGAGAGAGAGAGGTCTTCCATCCTTGGGTTTATTCCCAAATGGCCACTATGACTGGAGCTGGGCCAATCTGAAACCAGGATCCAGGAAGTTCTCTTAGGTCTCCACATGGGTGCAGGGGCTCAGGGACTTGGGCCATCTTCTACTGCTTTCGCAGGCCATAGCAGAGAGCTGGATTGGAAGTGGAGGGGCCTATTCTGGAACCAGTATGGTATGTTGGCACTGCAGGCAGCAGCTTTACCTGATATGCCACACCACCTGCCCTAAAAATACAATTTAAAATCAGCAGCCAGCACTGTAGCACAGTGGGTTGAGCAGCCACTTGTGACACTGACCGCCCATATAAGAATGCTGGGTCATAGTCCTTGCTGCCCCTTTCTAATCCAACTTCCTGCTAATGTGCCTGGAAAGGTAGCCCAAGTACTTGAGTCCCTTTCACTCATGTGGGAGACCAGCATGTAGTTCCTGGCTTCTGGCTTTGACCTGGCCCAACCCTGGCTGTTGTGACCTTTTGGGAAATAAACCAGTGGATGGATGAATGGTCGATCTCTTTCCGCTTTTTAAATAAATTTTAAAAAACTGATTGCATACACATATATGCATATTAGATGGGTTTCTTTAATGTCTTCCTATACTAGATTATGGCTGTATTTTTCAAGAAATCAAACAGAAGTTTAAAGAGAAACAGTGAGGGGCCAGTGCTGTGGCACAGTAGGTTATTCTGCCTGCTAATCTGGCATCCCATATGGGTGCCGGTTCTAGTCCCAGCTGTTCCTCTTCCAATCCAGCTCTCTGCTATGGCCTGGGAAAGCAGTAGAAGATGGCCCAAGTGCTTGGGCCCCTGTACCCGCATGGGAGACCAGGAAGAAGCTCCTGGCTCATGGGTTCGGATTGGCCCAGCTCTGGCCTTTGCAGCCATTTGGGGGGTGAACCAGCGGAAAGAAGACCTTTCTCTCTGTCTCTCCCTCTCACTGTCTGTAACTCTGCCTCTCAAATAAATAAATAAAATGTTTAAAAGAGAGAAACAGTGAACAGTATTATAGACAACAGAGTAGGTAACACTACATTCTGATGCAGATTTAGAAAATGACCATCATATACTTGTCTGTAATTACCAAATACTGCCAGCAGAGGGTGCTTCACCCACTTATGTTACTAGTTTTCCTAGTCATCCCCCAAGTTGTTGTTGTTGTGGGTGTTTTTTTTATTTTTATTTTATTTTATTTATTTATTTTTTTACAGACAGAGTGGACAGTGAGAGAGAGAAAGAAAGGTCTTCCTTTTGCCGTTGGTTCACCCTCCAATGGCCGCTGCGGCCAGCGCACTGTGGCCGGCACACCGTGCTGATCTGAAGCCAGGAGCCAGGTGCTTCTCCTGGTCTCCCATGCGGGTGCAGGGCCCAAGCACTTGGGCCATCCTCCACTGCACTCCCGGGCCATAGCAGAGAGCTGGCCTGGAAGAGGGGCAACCAGGACTAGAACCCGGTGTGCCGGTGCCACTAGGCGGAGGATTAGCCTACGGAGCCACGGCGCCTGCCCATCCCCCAAGTTTTGATCGTTTTCCTACCCACCTGACCTCTTCCCCAGCAGAACCAAAGAGAAGGGGGAAAAACTCTTTAAAAAGTTTTTATGATTAGATTAAAATTTTTTTTGTTTTTTTTGACATGCAGAGTGGACAGTGAGAGAGAGAGAGAGAGAGAGAAAGGTCTTCCTTTGCCATTGGTTCACCCTCCAATGGTCGCCACGGCTGGCGCGCTGCGGCTGGCGCACCACGCTGATCCGATGGCAGGAGCCAGGTACTTATCCTGGTCTCCCATGGGGTGCAGGGCCCAAGCACTTGGGCCATCCTCCACTGCACTCCCTGGCCACAGCAGAGAGCTGGCCTGGAAGAGGGGCAACCGGGACAGAATCCGGTGTCCCAACTGGGACTAGAACCTTGTGTGCTGGCACCGCAAGGCGGAGGATTAGCCTAGTGAGCCGCAGTGCCGGCAGATTAAAATTTAAAAAAAAAAAAAAAAAAATTTTATTTTAGGGGCCGGTGCTGTGGCGTAGTGGGTAAAGCCATTGCTTGCAACACTAGCATTCCACATGGGTGCCAGTTAAGAGTCCTGGCTTCTCCACTTCTGATCCAGCTCCCTGTTAATACACCTGGGAAAGCAGCGAAAGATGGTCCAAGTCCTTGGGCCCCTGCACCTACATGGAAGACCCAAGAAACTCCTGGCTTTGGGCTTTGGTCTAGTCCAGCTCTGGCTGTTGGGGCCATTTGGGGAGTGAAACAAGAGATGAAAGATTCTTTCTCTGTGTCTCTCCCCTCACTCCTGTAACTCTGCCTTTCAAATCAATAAATATAAATCTTTAAAAAAGTTATTTTAGAGGCAGAGAGAAAAAGAATGAGATCTCTCCCATCCATTGGTTCACTCACCAGATGGGCCAAAGACAGGAGCTGGGAACCAGGGATGCAATCCAGGTCTCCCATGTGGGTTGCAGTGACCCAGTTACATTAGCTGTCACTACTACCTCCCAATTTCTATATTGGTGGAAAGCTGGAATCAAGAGCCAGAGCTTGGCCAGCGCCGCAGCTCACTAGGCTAATCCTCTGCCTGTGGCGCCGGCATACCGGGTTCTAGTCCCAGTCGGGGCACTGGATTCAGTCCCGGTTGCCCCTCTTCCAGGCCAGCTCTCTGCTGTGGCCCGGGAGGGCAGTGGAGGATGGCCCAAGTGCTTGGGCCCTGCACCCTATGGGAGACCAGGAGAAGCACCTGGCTCCTGCCATCGGATTAGCGCTGTGCGCCGGCTGCAGCGCGCTGGCCCCAGCAGCCATTGGAGGGTGAACCAACGGCAAAAGGAAGACCTTTCTCTCTGTCTCTCTCTCTCACTGTCCACTCTGCCTGTTAAAAAAAAAAAAAAAAAAAAAAAAGAGCCAGAGCTAGGAATCAAACCCAAGCACTCTGATGTGGGGCACACCCATCTGAACTGCTAGGCTGACTGTCTACTCCTTACTGTTGAAATTTAAACATACATAAAAGTGGAAAGAATCAACCCACATGTATCTATCACTCATCTTCAACAGTGATCAACTCATGATCATTATTTTTTTGTCTATATTGTTCTCTCCACTAACAGATTACAAGGTTATTTTAGGGGCTGGCTTAGTGGTATAGCGGGTTAAGCTGCGGAGTACAATACTAGCATCCCATATAAATGCTGGTTTGAATCCCGGCTGCTCCACTTCTACTCCAGCTCCCTGCTAATGTGCCTGGGAGAGCAGTAGAAGCTGGCCCAAGAGCTCGATCCCCTGCACCCACGTGAGAGACCTGGAAGAAGCTACTGGCTCCTGGCTTTCACCTGGCCCAGCTCCAGACATTGTGGCCATTTGGCGAGTGAAACAGATGATCTTTTTCTCTCTGCCTCCGCGTCTTTCTCTGTAATTCTGCCTTTCAGATAAATAAATAAATCTTTTTTTTTTTTTTTTTTTTTTTGACAGGCAGAGTGGACAGTGAGAGAGAGACAGAGAGAAAGGTCTTCCTTTTGCCGTTGGTTCACCCTCCAATGGCCGCCGCGGCCGGCGCGCTGCGGCCGGCGCACCGCGCTGATCCGATGGCAGGAGCCAGGAGCCAGGTGCTTTTCCTGGTCTCCCATGGGGTGCAGGGCCCAAGCACCTGGGCCATCCTCCACTGCACTCCCTGGCCACAGCAGAGGGCTGGCCTGGAAGAGGGGCAACCGGGACAGAATCCGGCGCCCCGACCGGGACTAGAACCCGGTGTGCCGGCGCCGCTAGGCGGAGGATTAGCCTATTGAGCCGCGGCGCCGGCCATAAATAAATCTTTAAAAAAATAAAATAAGATTAAAGCAAATCTCCACTGCTTTGCCATTTGATCCTTAAAATACTGCATGTAAATCTTTAAGAAGTAAAAACTCAGGGCAGCACTATGGCATAGTGGGTAAAGCTGACACCTGCGGTGCTGGCATTTCATATGGGCACCTAAAGAAGCTCCTGGCTCGCACCCAGTTCCAGCTGTTGCATCCATTTGGAGAGTGAACCTCTTTCTCTTTCTCTAACTCTCTCTGTAACTCTTCCTCTCAAATAAATAAATAAATCCTTAAAAAAATAAAAGGGAAAGAAAGAAAAACTCTTGGGCTGGTGCTGTGGCTTAACAAGTTAAAGACCTCTGCTGAAGTGCTGGTGTTCCATATGGGCACTGGTTCAAGCCCCAGCTACTCCACTCCCAATCCAGCTCTCTGCTATGGCCTGGGAAAGCAGTAGAGGATGGCCCAATTCCTTGGGCCCCTGCACCCACATGGAGACCTGGAAGAAGCTCCTGGCTCCTGGCTTCGGATTGGCATAGCTCTGGCCATGTGGCCATCTGGGGAGTGATCCAGTGGATGGAGGACCTCTCTCTCTGTCTCTACCTCTCTGTGTAACTCTGTCTTTCAAATAAATAAATCTTAAAAAAAAAAAAAAAAAAAGCATCCACCCTAATTTCAAATCCTTGTTCATTTAAAAAAAGAGAAATATATGTACATTGTGGAATGGCTAAATTGAGCTAACTGACATATACATTACTTATCAAGGTTTTTTTGGTTGTAAGAACTTTTTTTGTTTTAAAGATTTATTTATTTATTTGAAAGAGTTACACAAAGAGAGGAGAGGCAGATAGAGAGAGGTCTTCCATCCAATGGTTCACTCCCCAGTTGGCCACGACGGCCATAACTGTGCCGATCCGAAGCCAGGAGCCAGGAGCTTCCTCCAGGTCTTCCACTCAGGTGCAGGGGCCCAAGGACTTGGGCCATCTTGTACTGCTTTCCTAGGCCATAGCAGAGAGTTGCATTGGAAGTGGAGCAGCCAGGACTTGAACCTGCAGGCGGTGGCTTCACCTGCTACTTCCACAGTGCTAGCCCTTGTAAGAACTATTAAAACATAATGGAGATGAGGGTCGGTGCTGTGACCTAGCAGGTGAGGCTACCGCCTGCAGGTTCAAGTCCTGGCTGCTCCACTTCTGATCCAGCTCTCTGCAATGGCCTGGAAAAGCAGTGGAAGATGGCCCAATTCCTTGGGCCCCTGCACCCGAATGGGGCCAATTGGAGAGTGAACCATCGGATGGAAGACCTCTCTCTCTCTCTCTCTCTCTGTCTCTGTGTTTCCTTCTCTCTCAGTATAACTCTTTCAAATAAATAAATAAATCTTTAAGCAAAAAAAACCATAGGTATTTTCAAGAATACAATACATTGTTATTAACTGTATTAATCCTGTTGTACAGTAAAGCACTCATTTAAACACTGGTACCATGCCTAAAATAATTAGCAATAATATCTTTTTGAAAATTATTTATTTATTTGAAAGAAAAATAGAGATCTGCTGACTCACTCTCCAAATACCTACAACAGCCAGAGCTGGATCAGGCCAAAGCCAGGAGCTTGGAACTCAATCCAAGTTTCCCACCTGAATAACAGGGACTTGACTACTTCAACCATCACCTGCTGCCTCCCAGAAAGTACAATAGCAGGAAGCTGGAATCACGAGTAGAATCGTAGTGAAACCCAGTTGTTCCAGTATGAGATGTGGTTGTCCTAAGCCATGTCTTAATGCCTGTACTTAGCACCTAACCCCAGCAATAATATCTAAGTAATGATATTTAAAGGGGCAAATGAGATTTTTAAATAAGCAATAACTAAAACAGTTTATATTTTTACAGCAATAATGGTAAGGGGGATACCTCTTATATGCAGATGTTTGTTTATAAAATGATGGTTCATATTTTAACAAGTCCATAGAGCTCTTTAAATTCTAAGCATTGACTGTTTTCTCAGTTTTTTAGAAAAAAATAAAAAAGACAGGATACTTCCTCTATGTCCCTGCCAGGTTAATAGTTCTCAGTTACAGTTCTAATCATTTTACTACCCTGCTCTAAAACCTTTAACTTTTTTCTCTTTGCTTTGTTGGTGTAAAAAAGAAAATAAAATTTAAAAAAACTTTTTTTTGCCTAAAAGCCATGCACATTCTCATTAGTTTTGCCAGTGATTTTTAAAGCTGTTCACACGGTGATATCACTGTGCTTTTTTTGTCTTGTTCTTCACTAAAGTTTTTGTTCTCCCAGTATCTACCTTAAGTGACTAATAAAGCCCTCCAGGGTTTTGCTTACGCTGTTGCCTCCAGCCTCCAAGAACAGCTCTCCTTTCTCTTTATCTCTCTACACATTAATAGTGGAAAAAAAAGACAGGGCAGGCTTCAGTCTTTGGCTTAGTGGTTAAGACACCAGTTGGGAAACGTTTGTCTTATATCAGAGTGCCTGGGTTTAAGTCCTGATTATGCTTCTGATTTCAGCATCCTGCTCCTGCAGATCCAGGCAGGCAGCAGTGATAGTTCAAGTAGTTGGATTCCTGCCGCCTAAGTGGGACACCTGGATTAAGTAACCAGCTTCCGGCTTCAACCTGCCCCAGCCCTGCTGTTAGGAGTATTTGGGAAGTGAACCAGTGAATGAGAACTCTGTCTTTGTGACTCAAATAAAAAAGAAAAGTTTTAAGTGTAAAATGACAGGATGGTATGTAAAATATACTATCTTTTGTGTAAAAAGAAGGGAGAATAAGAATATACTGGGTGTGGGCATTTGAGGAGCAAACCAGTTGGTGAGAGGACTGTCTGTGTCTTTGTTTCTCTCACTGTCTCTGTGTTTCAAATAAACGAAAACTTATTTAATTAAGAAAAAAGAGTATGCATTTCTGCTAGTTAGATTAAACATAAGCAAACTGTAGAAGCATGTAAAAGAACCAGCAGTGAGGGGGATAGGAATTTAGCCACTAGGTTCAGAAGTAACATGAAGACTTTTTCATTCTTTAACTTTTTACATATTTTAAAATATTTTTGATCATGTGCATGTATTACCTGTACAAAAGAAGTGATAACACATGGAGCAAAAGAATTTATCTTTCAAGGCCCAAATAACACCTCTTACATACGGATTTTCCTAATCTTTCCTGTTTTTTTTTCTTCTTTTGAAATCCTATAAAATTATTTTGTGTGTTTTCACATTTTCATCTGGTATTGTTTATGATTATTTATCAACTTTTTTCTCATTTTACCATCTTTCTCTAATCTCTCCTTATAATCTTTTTAAAAATGTGTTTATTTATTTATTTGTTTAAGAGGCAGAGACAGAAAAAGCTCCCATCTGCTGGTTCATTCCTGTATGGTCCCAATAGCTAGTACTGGGCCAAGCCAAAGCCAGTGCTAGAAACTCAATTCCGGTCTCCCATGTGGGTTGCAGGACCCTAATTACTTGAGCTATCACCATTGCCTCCCCAGGTCTGCATTAGAAGGAAGTTGTAGTCAGATGCTGGAGCCAGGCACTGAAATGTGAGACATGGACATCTTTTCCTCTAGACTAACTGTCCATCCTTTCCTTAATATCTTATAGTTTCTTTCAGTGCTTAATGATGGTGTTCCAAATATTGTACTTTCTTAGAGCAGTCAGCACATAGTGCATTCTCAAATATTTACAAAGATGAAGGAGAAATATATTAGCATGAAACTGTTCTGTTTGCTAACAAATATGTTGTTTTTGAATGCCGAATTGCAACTTCTTTTGCATTAGGATTGAAGACAATGATGGTGAATTCTTGTTAATAGAAGCTGCTGACTTTCTCCCTAAATGGTTAGATCCTGATAATAGTGCCAACAGGGTAAGTTTATCTGTTTAGAAAAATTACAAGCATAAAAATATTTTGCATTATTTTCATATGTACCTAGAATTTGCCATTGCCCACTATGAAAATTAAAATGTACCATTTTCCAGGTGTTTTTCCACCATGGGGAGTTGTGCATTATTCCTGCACCAAGGAAACCTGGAGCAGAATCCTGGTTACCCACCTCACCCCCAACAATCCCACAGGCATTGGATATAATCTCAACACATCTGGAAAAAGTTGTGGCTTCAGAATCTATACGAGCTGCTGTAAACAGGCGCATCAGAGGGTAAGAAAGACACCACTTCCATTGCTTGTTAAGGAGCCTTTTGTTTTAGTGCAGCTCAAGTTTTTCACCTAGATTAATGGAATTAATGCTAATTCCTATATTGTCTGCATCCCTCTTTATGAAATTGACTAACAAACTTACAGACTGTTTTTTCTGAAGATTTATTCATTTATTTGAAAGGCAGAGTTAGAGAGAGAGGAAGAGAAATGGAGAGAAGATCTATCCACTGATTCACTTCCCAAATGGCTGCAACAGCCAGAGCAGAGCCAATCTGAAGTCAGGAGCCAGGAGATTCTTCCGGATGCAGGGACTCAACTGCTTGGGCCGTCCTGTGCTGCTTCTTAGGCACATTAGCAGGGAGCCGGATCGGAAGTGGAGCAGCTGGTCTTGAACTGGCACCCATATGGGATGCCAGCGCCGCAAGCTGCAGCTTTATCTACTATGCCACAGTACTGACTGCAAACTTGCAGATTTTGAAGCTTAAACAAGTAGAAGTCAGGGCCGACACTGTGACATAGCTGGTAAAGCCACCGCCTACAGTGCTGGCATCACGTATGGGGGCACCATTTTGAGTCCTGGCTGCTCCACTTCTGATCCAGCTCTCTGCTATGGCCTGGGAAAACAGTAGAAAGTGGCCCAAGTCCTTGAGTCCCTGCTCCCATGTGGGAGACCTGGAAGAAGCTCCTGGCTCCTGGCTTTGGATCGGCATGGCTCCAGCTGTTGTGGCCAACTGGGAAGTGAACCAGTGAATGGAAGACCTCTCTCTCTCTCTCTCTCTCTCTCTCTCTCTGCCTCTCCTTCTCTCTCCGTGTAACTCTGACTTTTAAATAAATAATCTTTAAAAAATATTTTAAAACTCTAACTTTGTTTACTGTACTGCTTTTTTAGAGGAATAGACTGACTTTATCCTTATTCCAACGTGTTTTTGTAATAATTTTTTGGGTTTTTTTGAGATGATGTCATAATCCCTTTCCATTTCTTCCATATTTTCTTCTCTCCTCTCTCTCTCTCTCTCTCTCTCTTTTTTTTTTTTTTTTAAGATTTGCTTATTTATTTGGGAGGCAGAGTTACAGATGGAGAGAAGCAGAAACAGAGAGAGAGGTATTCCATGTGCTGATTCAATGCCAAATAGCCACAACTGCTAAAACTAGGCCCATCCAAAGGCGGGAGCCAGGAGCTTCTTCCAGGTCTCCCTCATGGGTTCAGGGGCCCAAGCAGTTGGGGCATCTCCTACTGCTTTCCCAGGCCATTAACAGAGAGCTGGATTGGAAGAGGAGCAGCCAGGGCACGAACCAGCGCCCATATGGAATGCCAGCATCTTAGGCAGAGGCTTAGCCTACTATATCACAGTGCTAGCCTCTCCCCCCAACATTTTCTTTTTCCTTCTTTTCTTTCCTGCAGTCCTAAGTATATAGTCTTATTTTTAACTTTTCTTGTCAGTCTCTAGATGTCAATTTTGATAAAGCAAGACAAGATATTAATAGTGTAAGAATTCTAGATATTTACATCTCATAAAGCAAACTTAACTATGTTAACTGTCACAGGTACCCAGGAAAAATTGAAGCCTCCCTTCATAGAGCACACTGCTTCCTTCCAGCTGGCATTGCAGCAGTACTGAAGCAGTGCCCCAGACTGGTGGCTGCAGCGGTCCAGGCGTTCTACCTGCGGGACCCCATTGATCTGCGAGCCTGTCGTGTTTTTAAGACATTTTTGCCTGAAACACGAATAATGACATCGGTAAGATATCCTTCTTGGTCGTTTAGTTTCTCTCTCTGCAAAAATAGTTAGATATATCATTTTAATTCTCTAGAAATAAAGTTGGAAATACTCATTTTCCTCATAGCAAGTTAATGTGTTTATTTTTCTTTTTCTCCACACAGTAGAGGAAAGTTTTCAAGAGACCAAACTCCCCATTTTATATCTCAGTATTTCCTGTTTTGACCATTTTATCCCTATTCCTATAATTATTTCTTTCTTGACAATAAGTTCATCTTCCCCACTAATCTATATAATGTAACTAATAATAAGTATTCTACCAGTGATAACTAAAATGTCAGCTGTAAGATAAATTTTATGTGAGTTATGTCCCCAAAAAGTTGTTATTGAAAACAATTAGGTATTGAATAGGTTAGATCTTCTTTGTATTTTATATAAAATGATGCTCATAAATGGACTTACTACTATATTTAGGTATGGCATAATATTCAGATTTTCATGTATTTTGTGTTCCAATCTCAGGTCACTTTCACTAAATGTCTGTATGCACAGTTGGTACAACAGAGGTTTGTGCCCGACCGGCGGAGTGGATACGGGCTGCCTCCTCCATCTCATCCCCAGTACCGAGCCCATGAATTGGGCATGAAGTTGGTAATGTCAAACTGAAAATATTATTTCCAAGCTCAACGTGAAAGGGTTTGTAATAGAATAATGGCACAGCATAGAAACTATCAAATTTACCCTATTTTTATAGTGAAATGTGATGTTTTAAAATAAACAGTAGACTGGCGCCGCAGCTTAATAGGCTAATCCTCCACCTAGCAGCGCCAGCACACCAAGTTCTAGTCACAGTCAGGGTGCCGGATTCTGTCCCGGTTGCCCCTCTTCCAGACCAGCCCTCTGCTGTGGCCAGGGAGTGCAGTGGAGGATGGCCCAAGTGCTTGGGCCCTGCACCCCATGGGAGACCAGAAGAAGCACCTGGCTCCTGCCTTCGTATCAGCGCGGTGCACTGGTCGCAGCGCGCCAGCCGTGGCGGCCATTGGAGGGTGAACCAACGGTAAAAGGAAGACCTTTCTCTCTGTCTCTGTCTCTCACTATTCACTCTGCCTGTCCAAATAAATAAATAAATAAATAAATAAACAAACAGTAATAGTGGACTAATGGGTAGATGGTGATAGGATAGCTGTGAAGCCATCTGCAAAATTAAAATTGATTCCCCACACTATACTAAAATAAATTCTAATGGTATCAAATATATAAGTGTAGAAATTAAAACCATAAAATTTGAAATAAAACATAAGAGAATTTATTATAATCTGAATAGGAAAGTCCTATGTAGACCTGAAACTGGAAGCTGTTAAAAAAAAGACTGATAAATTTGATTAAGTAAAAATTAAGTATGAAAAAGAAAAACCCCATAAGATAGCAACCTTTGTAATTTACATGAAAATAAATGACATCTCTAATATATAAAGTGTTCCTATAACTCAATATGAAGAAAATAATCTCAGTTAATTAAAGATGTTCATGGACAGTCATTTTGGCTTAACAGTTAAGTTGCTAAGAAGCCCACATCCTGTATCAGAGTATCTGAATGTGAGTGGAGCCTCTGGCTCCTGACTGCAGCCTCTGGAAAGCAGCAGTGCTGGCTCAGGTAATTGAGTTCCTGTTACCACATGGGAGACCTGAACTGAGTCAGCCTTGGCCCTTCTCTGGCTGTTAGGAAAGCATTTGGTTAGTGAATCAGCAGGTGGGAGCTCTCTATCCATCTCTGTTCCTGTCTCTCTCTCTCAAAAACTAAGTTTTAAAAGGGAAATTTTCAGAAACTATGAACAAGTAGTCCAGAGAAAAAGTAATAAAAATGACTTTTAATTTGACACATAAAAATTTTGAGCCTTGCTCATAATAAAAGAAATGCAATGCAGAGTTACAAGATAGGGGCAAGGCATTTGGCGTAGCAGTTAAAATGCCACTTGGGATGCCTGAGTTCCATATTGGAGTGCTTGAGTTCGAGTCCCAGCTCTGCTTCTCATCCCAGTTTCCTGCTAAATATGCACTGGGAGGCAGCAGGTGATGGCTGAAGTACTTGGGTCACTGCCACATACTTGGGATATCTATACTGAGTTCCTGGTTCCTGGCCTCAGCTTTGCCCAGCCCCAGCTGTTGCAGGTATCTGGGGTGTGAGCCAGTAGATAGGTGGTCATTCTGTTTGTCTTTTCACTGTCTGTCTCTTTGTCTTTCAAATAAATGAAATAATAAATAAAAATAAAGCTACAAAATAATATTTTCACCATTAATTGGCAAGTTATCAAAATATTTGATAATATATACTGGCTTATTGAGAATATATATATAGAAAAAGATAAATTCAAACATTTTTTTAAAAGGTTTATTTATTTGAAAGGCATAGTTACAGAGAGGCAGAGAGAGAGAGAGAGACAGAGAGAGAGAGAAAGTCTTCCATTTGCTGGTTCACTCCCCAGATGGCTGCAATGGCTGGAGCTGAGCCAGTCTGAAGCCAGGAGCGAGGAGCTTCCTCTGGGTCTCCCACATGGGTGCAAGAGCCCAAGGACTTGGGCCATCTTCTACTGCTTTCCCAGGCCATAGCAGAGAGCTGGATTGGAAGAGGAGCAGCTGGGACTAGAAATGGAGCCCATATGGGATGCCAGTGCCGCAGGCAGCAGCTTTACCCACTACACCATAGCACCGGCCCCTCAGACATTGTGAAGGGAATATCAGTTAATTCAGTTTCTTACGAGAACAATTGCAATATCTATCAGTGTTTAGAATGCACAAACTCTTCTCAGCATTTTCACTTCTAGAAATTTATCCTGCCTGTTTTCTTTGTGTGCACAAAAACATATGACAGTACCTCAAAAAGTTCATGGAAAATGGAATTAAAATGTGTTTGTTATAAAAAATTATGAAATACATTGTTTTCATAATATGCATTTTCCCTGAAGTATATAAGCATATTAATGACAGCATTATTTGTAATAGTAAGACTAGAAATCATTTAAATGACTGTTAGTGGAGCATATTTAAATCAGTTATGGTCTGTACACAAAGTGAGATGAATAAATTTTTCGCATTTGAAATGATTACCCAAGTACATGGCCGAGTGTAAAAAAGTAAAGTAGCAAAGTGCAGAATAGTATGTATGCTGCTATTCACAGGTACTTGCTTGAGTGCATAGATTATTTCTCAAAGAATATGTAAGAAGTGCAGCCAGCGCTGCGGCTCAATAGGCTAATCCTCTGCCTAGCGGCGCCAGCATACCAGGTTCTAGTCCCGGTCGGGGCGCCGGATTCTGTCCCAGTTGCCCCTCTTCCAGGCCAGCTCTCTGCTGTGGCCAGGGAGTGCAGTGGAGGATGGCCCAAGTGCTTGGGCTCTGCACCCCATGGGAGACCAGGATAAGTACTTGGCTCCTGCCTTCGGATCTGCATGGTGCGCCAGCCGCGGCGGCCATTGGAGGGTGAACCAACGGCAAAGGAAGACCTTTTTCTCTGTCTCTCTCTCACTGTCCACTCTGCCTGTCAAAAAAAAATATATATATATATATGTAAGAAGTGGGTACCAAATTCCTCTAGAATAGTCAGGGAAGGTCCCTGTTAGAATTATCTTACCATGTGTATCTACTATATTTTTTTAGTCAGAGGTCTGTTAAAATGAAGTGATTCCCTCTCTATAACGTCTGAGAGCATGCTCTGTACTTTATGTTAGAGAAGAAATCTTGGTAAGCTGTTTTATAATCACACAAGAAATAAATTTATATTTCTAGTTTTATTTATTTCAAAGCCAGAGATAGAGAAGTCTCCCATTCAGCTGGTTCATTTCTCAAAATCAAGAACATGGTAGCCAGGGCTGGGTAGGGGCAAAGCCAGAAGCTGAGAACTTAATCTAGGTGTCCCATGTGGGTTGCAGGGAGTCAGCTTCACCTGTTGCCACCCAGCCCTCTGCATTAGCAGGAAGCTGGCACTGGGAGCAGAGTGGGAACTCAAACTTAAGCACTTCAATATGGGATGCCAACTTCCTGAGTGATAGCCACTGTGCCAAATGCCACCCCAATTTCTAGTTTTCTAGTTAGAGGAAGAATCTCTTTGAAGAGAACAGGGACCTTTTTTTTTTTTTGTCATTTTTATTCCTTTTTGATTTTTAGTATTCAATAGATATTGGGAACTTGGAAATAAGTTCAAGTTTTTCATAAAATTCTAAGTGTTGTAAATGTCCACATGCACATATTGTCTAGTTAGTGAGTGTTGCTAAATGGAAAGAAAGTAGGAAGGTGATACTTAAAAAAAAAAAAAAGCAGTATTTCGTAATCAAAATTCTGTCTTATTTAGGCTCATGGATTTGAGATCTTGTGCTCCAAATGTAGCCCACATTTTTCTGACTCCAAGAAATCCCTCAAGACTACCTCACCACTCTGGGCCAGTTTCCTCAAGAGTCTGAAAAAGAATGATTACTTTAAGGTAAGATTTGCCGTGTGTATTTTGAAGTGTATAATCCAGGGAAATTCAAACCAGTAATTTAAAGTCCCTTGGTTCACATTAAATGTGTAGCATAATTGTAGAAGCCAGAGTTAGGGAGACTTTTCTTTTCTTTTCTTTTTTTTTTTTTTTTTTAAAGATTTATTTATCTATTTGAAAGAGTGACACAGATAGAGGAGGAGAAGCAGACAGAGAGAGGTCTTCCATCCACTGGTTCACTCCCCAATTGGCTGCAACGGCCAGAGCTGCATCAATCCAAAGCCAGGAGCTTCTTCCGGGTCTCTCACGTGAATGTAGGACCCCAAGGACTTGGGCCATCTTCTGCTGCTTTCCCATGCTATAGTAGAGAGCTGGACTGGAAGTGGAGCAGCTGGGACTCGGAACTGATGTCCATAAGGGATGCTGGCACTGCAGGCAGCAGCTTTACCTGCTTTGCCACAGTGCTGTCCCCAAGGGAGAGTTTAGTGTTGTTCAGGGTCTTCAAAGGTGGTAATGAAGGCTGTCTGTGAACTTTTTTTTTTTTAAGTTATACAAGTTTCATGTATTTCCTATGTACAGATTTAGGAACATAGTATATGTTTACATACTGTATATATGTATGTATGTATATATATATGTATGTATGTATTTCCTATATATGGATTTAGGATCACCCCACCCTCCCGCCTGCCCATGCTTCAACCCTTCTTTCTCCCTCTTCCGTTATCACTCTTAATTTTTATTTTTACAGAGATCTACTTTGAATTTACTTAACATTCATGTAGTTAACTTTACACTAAGTAAAGAGTTCAACAAGTAGTGTGAAGAAAAAACATTGTTCCTCAACAGAAGAGACAAAGGCTGTAAACAATCATCCAATCTCAAAGTGTCCAGTTTACTCCAGTACATTACATTACTTTTTTTTTTTTTTTTTTTTTTACAGGCAGAGTTAGAGAGAGACAGAGACAAAGGTCTTCCTTTTCTGTTGGTTCACCCCCCCAAGTGGTTGCTATAGCTGGTGCGCTGCGCCTATCTGAAGCCAGGAGCCAGGTGCCTCCTGGTCTCTCATGCGGGTGCAGGGCCCAAGCACTTGGGCTATCCTCCACTGCCCTCCTGGGCCACAGCAGAGAGCTGGATTGGAAGAGGAGCAACCAGGACAGAACCAGCACCCCAACCAGGACTAGAACCCAGAGTACCAGCGCCGCAGGCAGAGGATTAGCCAAGTGAGCCGTGGCGCCAGCCCATTACGTTACTTTTTTAAGTACTTTTTTAGTTACCCCAGATCAGGGAAAACATGTGATATCTGCCTCTTTGGGGACTGGCTTATTTCACTAAGTATAATTGTTTCCTTTTTTTTTTTTAACTTGATTTTTTCTCTAATCATCTCTTCATTTTTAAACATTTTATTTATTTATTTGAGAGGTAGAGTCACAGTAAAGGGAGAGACAGAGAAGAGTCTTCCACCTGCTGGTTCAGTCCCCAGATGGCCGCACGGCTGGAGCTGAACTGATCTGAAACAAGCCAGGAACTTCTTCTAGATCTTCCATGCTGGTGCAGGGTCTAAAGCACTTGGGCCATCTTCTACTGCTTTCCCAGGCTGTAGCAAAGAGCTGAATCAGAAGAACAGCAGCCAGGATTTGAACTGGTATCCATATGGGATTCCAGTGCCACAGGCAGAGGGCTTAGCCCACTACACCGCAGCACCTATCCTAGTATAATGGTTTCTGATTGCATCCATTTTGTTGCAAAGTACAGGATTTATTTATTTATTTGTTTGTTTGTTTGTTTTTATAGCTGAGTAGTACTCCACAGTCTGTCTGTCTGTCTGTCTATACCATATTTTCTTTATCCATCTGGGTTAATTCCATATCTTAGCTATTTTGAGTTGAGCTGCAATGGACATGGAGGTACAGATAACTCTTTCATATGCGATTTCTTTTAGTTTGGGTGAATTCCCCAGACTAGGATGGCTGGATCAAATGATAGGTTTATATTCAGATTTCCAAGGTATCTCCATACTGTCTTCCAAAGCAGCTGCACCAGTTTACTTTTCCACGAACAGTGGATTAGGATACCTTTTCCCTCACATCCAAGCCAGCATTTGTTGTTTATTGATTTCTATATGAGAGCCATTCTAACTTGGGTGAGATGCAACCTCATGGTTTTTTGTTTGTTTATTTGTTTGTTTTTGACAGGCAGAGTGGACAGTGAGAGAGAGAGAGAAAGGTCTTCCTTTGCCGTTGGTTCACCCTCCAATGGCTGCTGCGGCCGGCGCACCGCGCTGATCCGAAGCCAGGAGCCAGGTACTTCTCCTGGTCTCCCATGGGGTGCAGGGCCCAAGGACTTGGGCCATCCTCCACTGCACTCCCTGGCCACAGCAGAGAGCTGGCCTGGAAGAGGGGCAACCGGGACAGAATCCGGCACCCCAACCGGGACTAGAACCCGGTGTGCCGGCGCCGCAAGGCAGAGGATTAGCCTAGTGAGCCGCGGTGCTGGCCCCTCATGGTGGTTTTGATTTACATTTCCCTGATGGCTAGTGATCTTGAGAATTTTTTCAAGTGTCTGTTGGCCGTGTGAATTTCCTCTATGGAAAAATGTGTTCAAATCCTTTGCCCATTTTATAACTGGATTGTTTGTTTTGTTGTTGAATTTCTTGAGCTCTTTATAGATTTTGGATATTAACCCTTTATCATTGAGTAGTTTGTCTCTTCACTTTGCTGAGTGTTTCTTTTGCAGTGCAGAAGCTTCTCAGCTTGATGTAATCCCATTTGTCAATTTTGGCTTTGATTGTGCTTCTGGGGTCTTTTCTGAGAAGTCTTTGCCTAGGCCGGCGCCGCGGCTCACTAGGCTAATCCTCCGCCTAGTGGCGCCGGCACACCGGGTTCTAGTCCCAGTCGGGGCACCGGATTCTGTCCCGGTTGCCCCTCTTCCAGGCCAGCCCTCTGCTGTGGCCAGGGAGTGCAGTGGAGGATGGCCCAGGTGCTTGGGCCCTGCACCCCATGGGAGACCAGGAAAAGCACCTGGCTCCTGGCTCCTGCCATCGGATCAGCGCGGTGCGCTGGCCGCAGCGCGCCGGCCGCAGCGGCCATTGGAGGGTGAACCAACGGCAAAAGGAAGACCTTTCTCTCTGTCTCTCTCTCTCACTGTCCACTCTGCCTGCCGGAGATAAAAAAAAAAAAAAAAAAGAAGTCTTTGCCTATACCAATGTCTTGCAGAGTTTCCCCAGTATTCTCTATTAATTTGATGGTATCAAGTCATAGATTTAGTTCTTTGATCCATTTTGAGTAGATTTTTGTGTAGGGTGTAAGGAAGGGGGTTAAGTTTTATACTTGTGCACACACACATCCAGTTTTCCCAGCACCATTTGTTGAAGAGACTGTCCTTGCTCCAGGGATTGATTATAGCTCCTTTATCAAAGATTGGTTGGTTGGTTGTAGATGCATGGTTGATTTCTGGAGTTTGTATTCTGTTCCATTGGTCTACATGTCTATTTTTTGTTCCAGTACCAGGCTGTTTTGATGATAAACACCCTGTAGTATGTCTTGAAATCTGATATTGTGAAGCCAGATTGCTTTAGCTATTCAGGGTCTCTTATGTTTCCACATGAATTTTAGCATCATTTTTTCTAGATCTGAGAAGAATGTTCTTGATATTTTGATTGGTATCACATTGAATCTGTAAATTGCTTTCAGTAGTATGGACATTTTGATGATATTGATTCTTCCAATCCAAGAACATGGAAGGTTTTTCCATTTTTTAATGTCTTCTATTTCTCTCTTTAATGCTTTATAATTTTCATTGTAGAAATCTTTGACTTCCTTAGTTAAATTTCTTCCAAAGTATTTAATTCTTTTTGTAGCTATCGTGAATGGGATTGATCTTAAAAGTTCTTTCTCAGCCATGGCATTGTCTGTGTATACAAAGGCTATTGATTTTTGTGTGTTAATTTTGTATCTTGCCACTTTACCAAGCTCTTTTGTGAATTGCAATAGTTTCTCGGTGGAGTCCTTTGGATCCCCTGTATATAGAATCATGTCATCTGCAAATAAGGATAGTATGATTTTCTCCTTTCCAATTTGTATCCCTTTGATTTCTTTTTCTTCTGTAATGGCTCTGGCTAAAAGTTCCTGGACAATTTCGAACGGCAATGGTGAAAGTGGGCATCCTTGTCTGGTTCCAGATCATAGGGGGAATGCTTCCAGTTTTCCCTATTCAATAAAGTGCTGGCTGTGGATTTGTCATATGGTGTCTTGATTGTGCTGAGGAATGTTCCTTCTATACCCAATTTACTTAAGGTTTTCATCATGAAAGGATGTTGTATTTTTTTTTAAAGATCTATTTATTTATTTGAAAGTCAGAGTTACACAGAAAGAGGAGAGGCAGAGAGAAAGAGAGAGGTCTTCCATCCACTGGTTCGCTCCCCAGATGGCCACAACAGCCGGAGCTGCGCCAATCCGAAGCCAGGAGCCAGGAGTTTCTTGCGGGTCTCCCACATGGGTGCAGGGGCCCAAGGACTTGGGCCATCTTCCACTGCTTTCCCAGGCCATAGCAGAGAGCTGGATCAGAAGAAGAGCAGCCAGACTCGAACTGGCGCCCATATGGGATGCCGGTGCTTCAGGCCAAAGTGTTTACCCACTACGCCACAGTGCTGGACCCAGGATGTTGTATTTTATCAAATGCTTTCTCTGCATCTGTTGAGATAACCATATATGGTTTTTGTTCTTTAGTTGTTAATGTGATATATCACATTGATTGATTTGCAAATATTGAACCATCCCTGCATACCAGGGATAAATCCCACTTGGTCCAGGTGAATGATCTTTCTGCTGTGTTGTTGGATTCAATTAGCTAATTTTTTGTTGAGGATTTTTTTAATCTATATTCATTAAGGATATTGGTCTATAGTTTTCTTTCTCTGTTCTTTCTTTTTCTGGTTTAGGAATTAAGGTGATTTAGGCTTCATGAAGGGAGTTTGGGAGGATTCCCTCTCTTTCAGTTGTTTTGAATAGCTTGAGAAGAATTGGAATTAGTTCTTTAAATGTCTGGTAGAATTCAGCAGTTAAGCCTTATGGTCCTGGGTTTTTTTGTTGTTGTTGTTGAGAGGGTCTTTATTACTGATTAAATCTCCATCTTGTTTATTATTGATCTGTTTGGGTTTTCTGTGTCTTCATGACTCAATTTTAGTAGACTATATGTGTCCAGGAATCTATCCATTCTTTGTTGGCATACAGTTCTTTGTAGTAATTCCTGATTGATTCTTTTTATTTCTGTGGTATGTTTCGTTATATTTCCTTTTTCATCTTTGATTTTATTGATTTGGGTCTTCTCCCTCTTTGTTTATTTATTTTTTGGTTAGTTGGGCCAATGATATATCAATTTTGTTTATTTTTTCATGAAACTAGCTCTTCATTCATCTGCTGTATTTTTGTTGTTGTTGTTTCAATTTTATTTATTCTCTTAATTTTAATTATTTCTTTCGTCCTACTAATTTTGGGTTTGGTTTGTTGTTTTTCTAGGTTCTTGAGTTACATTGATAGCTGATTTATTTGGTACCTTTCCAGTTTATTCATGTAGGCACCAGTTGCTATAAACTTCCCTCTTAACATTGCTTTTGCTATATCCCATAAGTTTTGATATGATGTATTGTCACCCTCATTTGTTTGTAGAAATTTTTTTTTTTCTTCTATGACCCACTGTTCATTCAGGAGCATGTAATGAACTGTTCTCAGTAATAAAGTGACCATTTTTGATATAAATTATAAATTATGATGTGTATCAGATGAACAACTTGTAAAAATTTGTAATATAAACATGAAGACTCCAGACAGAAAAATAAGCAAAAACATGGATAAAAATTATAGAAAAAAAAAAAACTAGGAAATTTTTCTTAAAATATTCAGCCTTATAAGTAGTGAAGATATGCCTGTGAACACAGTATTAAAGACTTTTTTCATGTATGTAAAAACTTATCAGTGATGTTGCAAGAGAGTATGACAGAATTAATTCTCATGTACGTTGCTAGTAACATTGTGAATTGGTAGAACCCTAATTGAAAAGTAACATGGTAGTGTGTTCCATGAACCATAGAAAGGCTTACATTTAGAACCTTCACTTTGAGTAATCTTTTTAAGGAGACAGTCATGTAGAAAAGCCCATAAAAATATGATAGTTATAAAGACTGTGTAGCAATATGATAGTATAGTGTGCATATGATATGTATGGTGTGCTTTTATAGAATGTAAACTGTATGGGGCTACTTGGGACACCACATTCATATGCTGGAGTTCAAGTCCTAGCTCCATTCTCAATTGCAGCTTCCTGCTGATACTCACTGTGGGAGGCAGCAGGTGATGGCTCAAATTGTTGGTCTCTGCTACCCACATGGGAAACTGAGATTGAGTTCCAGGCTTCTGGCTTTGGCCTGACTCAGCCCCTGCTGTTGCTGGCATTTAGGGAATAAACCAGTGGATGGGAGATCTCTCTTTGTGTTTGTCTTTCTCTATGTGTTTCTTTTTTTAAAAAAAAAAAAACCTTTTTTTTTTTTTTTTTGACAGAATGGACAGTGAGAGAGAGAGAGAAAGGTCTTCCTTTGCCGTTGGTTCACCCTCCAATGGCCGGCGTGGCGCGCTGCGGCCGGTGCACCGCGCTTATCTGATGGCAGGAGCCAGGTGCTTCTCCTGGTCTCCCATGCGGGTGCAGGGCCCAAGCACTTGGGCCATCCTCCACTGCACTCCCTGGCCACAGCAGAGGGCTGGCCTGGAAGAGGGGCAACCGGGACAGAATCCGGCACCCCGACCGGGACTAGAACCCGGTATGCCGGCGCTGCAAGGCGCAGGATTAGCCTAGTGAGCCACGGTGCCAACTGTGTGTTTCTTTCTCTGTCTCTCTGCCTTTTAAACTTAAAAAGAAAATAAAATATTAAATACTGATACCACTATAAGTATGCCTGTGAAAGAAATCATTATTATGATGAAATTATGTTACATTAGGTTCTATTTGGCAAATTTTCTGGACTTTATTAATTAATTGCTAGTTAATTATGTCTAAATAAGTAAGTAAATAATTGAAAATAGTAAAGACCTTCCAAATTGGAAGGAGGCCCTAAATGATGAAAAGGATTAGGAACTGCTACATCTAGTCTTCAAATGAAGCCTAGTCTCTTCATTTGAAGAAACTGAAACCCAAACAGGTACATTATTGACAATTCAGGTACTAGGATTTAAGTATTATTATTCCTGAGCAATATATCCTATACTGCCACCCTGAAAGTTGCTGGTGAAGAGGTTATTTTAATGATACTCTGTAAGTAGTATTCTGATAAACCATTATTATTTTAAAGGAACTGATAGAAGGTTCAGCTCAGTACCAAGAAAGGCTTGAAATGGCAAAGAACTACTTCCAACTCTCAGTAAACCGGCCAGAAAGGTGAGTTATAGTTATGATACCTGCTACAAAGCAGGATAGATTAGTGATTGCATATTTCTTTCTTTCTTTTTTTTTTCTGTTAAGATTTATGGATTTATATGAAAGGCAGAGTTACAGAGAGGCAGAGGCGGAGACAGAGAGAGGTCTTTCATCCACTGGTTTACTCCCCAAATGCCTGCAATAGTTTGAGCTGGGCCAATCCAAAGCCAGGAGCTAGGAGCTTCTTTTGGATCTCCCACGTGGGTGCAAGGGCCCAAGTACTTGGACCGTCTTCTGCTGCTTTCCCAGGCATTGGAAGTGGAGCAGCTGGGACTTGAACTGGCGCTCATATGGGATGCCAGCACTACAGGCAGTGGCTTTACCTGCTATACCACAGCACTGAGCCTTGGATAGTTCTTTTAAATATTAAAGTTTTTCTGTTTTAGCTGGCGCCGCAGCTCAATAGGCTAATTCTCTGCCTTGCGGCGCTGGCACACCGGGTTCTAGTCCCAGTCAGGGCACCGGATTCTGTCCCGGTTGCCCCTCTTCCAGGCCAGCTCTCTGCTGTGGCCTGGGAGTGCAGTGGAGGATGGCCCAAGTGTTTGGGCCCTGCACCCGCATGGGAGACCAGGAGAAGCACCTGGCTCCTGCCTTCAGATCAGCGTGGTATGCCTGTCGCGGTGGCCATTGGAGGGTGAACTAACGACAAAAGGAAGACCTTTCTCTCTCTCTCTCTCTCTCTCTCTCACTCTCACTGTCCACTCTGCTTGTCAAAAAAAAAAAAAGTTTTTCTGTTTTTTTGAAAGTAACATATTTATTATAGTGCATAGGAGGATACAAAGAGGAAAAAATTTATACCAGGAAGTGGTGGACTACTATTGTCATTTTGATTTACTGCCCTCCTGGTTTTTTTTTTCCCCAGTAGTTTTTTTTAATGCTTATGGAAATGTTGTGTCCTGTACATCTTCCTCTGCCTTGCCAGGCACATAAACAGGGAGCTGGATTGGAAGTGTAGCAGCTGTGACTCGAACCAGTGCCTGAATGAGATGCTGGCACTATAGACGGCAACTTAACCCACTGTGCCACAGCGCTGGCCCCCAGACTTGTTTTTTATTTCCCATTGTTTGTTTTTTTTTTTTATAGCTGAATTTGTCATTGACTTTTCTTATTTTTTACTGCCCTGCTACTTAATTAGTTATTTCTTGAACTGTACCATGGCATGACCTTTCACAACCTCTAAAGCCTCTCTTAGAGTTCAACTATTAGAGCCAAGATAATCTGTTTAAAATAGATCTCTAGGGCCAGAGGGATAAGCCGCCTGTTGGGACGCCTGCATCCCATATTAGAGTATGGATTCAAATCCCAGCAGCTCTGCTTTTTATCTAACTCCCTGCAAATGGGCCTCCCTGCAGTAGGTGATACTCAGGTACTTGAGTCCCAGCCACTCAAATGGGAAACCCAGATGGAGTTCCTGGCTCTCTGCTTCAGCCTGGCCCAGTCCCAGCTATTGAGACTACCTGAGGAGTGAACCTGTGGATAAAAGATCTCTCCCTCTGTCTCTGTCACTCTACCTTTCTAATTGATTAGTCTTTAAAAAAAATATATCTCTAATCAAGTTACTTCTCATAAGTTACTAGATTTTAATAATGAAAAATTATAAGCCACTTAAGTGTCCATCAGTAGTGGATAAGTGAATATGGTGTATTTTTTTCAACTTTGTGTTTATTTTAAATTGGCATAAAATTGTATATATTGTGCACAACATATCTTGATGTCTACATAAATTGTGGAATGGTTAAGTCTAACCAATTAAAATTTACATTACTTCACATAGTTGTCATTTTTCTGAGAACATTTAGCTTCCACTCTCCTAGCATTTTTCAACTGTTTGTTTTTTTTTTTTTAAGATTTATTTATTTATTTGAAAGAGAGAGAGGGATTCCATTGCTGAATCATTCCCCATATGGCTGTAACAGTCAGTGCTGGCCAGGCTAAAGATAGGAACCAGGAACTCCATGTAGGTCTCCCACACAGGTAGCAGGGGCCCAAATATCTGGGCCATTATCTCCTGCCTTCCCAGGTGTATTAGCAGAGAGCTTGATGGGAACTGGGGCAGCTGAGACTTGAACTAGTACTTAAGTAATGATGCTGGTGTTACAAACCTGCTGCACCAACAATGGCCCCTTGACTTTTTTGTTAAAACAGTGTTACAGTAAACATCCTTGTGCATTAAAAAAAAATCTAGGGTAGGAAATTATCCTAGTGGTTAAGACATAGGCATCCCATATCAGAGTTTTGGGGTTTGCTAGTTGGCTGTGGCTCCTGATGTCAGTTTCTAGCCAGTGCAGACCCTGGGAGGCAGCAGTGATGAATCCAAGTAATTGGGTTCCTGTGAGTTTCTGCTACCTATATAAGAGACCGTGATTAAGTTTCCAATTCCAGGATTCAATCCATCCCAGTACCATCTTGCAGGCATTTGGAGAGAACAAACAGATGGTTGCTCCTTCTGTCTCTTTCTCTCACTCTCAAATAAATAGGTAAATAATCTTATATCCTCCCCATTCTTTAAAACCTAACTGAAATACTTCCTCCCTAAATACTTCCTTCCTACCATTCTCTCTCTCTCTTGAATGATAAGCTTCTTTTTTATATTTTGAGAGAGACAGATCGGGACAGGGAGAGAGATTCCCCCTTCTGCCGGTTCACTCCCCGAATGCCCTCCACTAGCCGAGGCTAGGCCCAGTCAAAGTCAGAGCTGACAGACTCAGAGCCGGGAATTCAGGTGGGCTCTCCCACATGGATGATAGAGACCTGACTACCTGAGCAACACCTGTCCCACAGGTCGGCATTAGCAAGAAGCTAGCTTTGAGAGCAGAGCTGGGACTCAAACTTAGGTGCTCTGACATAGGATATGGGCATCCCAAGCAACAGCCTAACCTGCACCAAATGTCTGTCTCTCTTAATTTCTCTGCCTTTACCCCATCAAAATAATTACCTTCTGTGGCTCTGTTTAGCATTCGATATTCCTGAATGATTTTCTATTTTGTCTTTTATTGTGATTATTGGGTGTTTCTTTTCTCTTTCCTGGTAATTTTTTTAAAAAAGATTTATCTATATTTATCTGAAAGTCAGAGTTATACAGAAATAGCAGAGGCAGAGAAAGAGAGAAATCTTCCATCCGATGGCTCATTCCCAACTGGCCACAGCGGCCAGAGCTGTGCCAATCCGAAGCCAGGAGCCAAGAGCTTCCTCTGGGTCTCTCACATGGGTGCAGGGGCCCAAGGACTTGAGCCATCTTCCACTGCTTTCCCAGGCCATGGAAGAGAGCTGGATTGGAAGGGGAACAGCCAGGTCTCGAACCGGCACCCATGTGGGATGCCGGCACTTCAGGTCAGGGCGTTAACCCGTTGCACCACAGCGCTGACCCCTCCTGGTAATTTTTATATTTTGTTAGAGCACAGACAATTTCACCAACATGATTTTGCTAAGTATTCAAATGTTTATTAAATTAATTAAAAGTTCCTGGGGCCAGCATTGTGGTCCAGTGAGTTAAACTGCATCTTGTGACACCAGCATCCCGTAGCAGAGTGCTGGTTCGAGCCTAGCTCCTCCACTTCAGATCCAGCTCCCTGCTAATGTGTCTGGGAAAGCAGAGGATGATGGACCAAGTACTTGGGCCCTGCCAGCCACATGATTGCAGTTTTTGCTCCTAGCTTCAGTCTGGCCCAGCGCTGGCTATTGCAGGCATTTGGGGAGTTACTCAGTAAACAGATTTATTTCTGTCTATCTTGTTACTCCATCTCTCTCTGTCATCCTGCCTTTCAAATAAATAATTAAAAAATAAAACAATGTGGAGCCAGCATTGTGGCATAGGTTAAACCTCCACCTGCAATGCCAGCATCCCATATGGGTACTGCTTTGAGACCTAGGTGCTTCACTTCCAATCCAGCTCCCCTGCTAGTGCACCTGGGAAAGCAGCAGAGGATGACCCAAGTGATTGGGCTCCTCCACTCAACATGGGAGACTTGGATGAAGCTCTGGGCTCCCGGCTTCAGCCTGGCCCTTGCCATTCTGGCCATTTGGAAAATTGCTCACTTGCTCTCTGTCTCTGTCTCTGTCCCCCTCTCCCCTCCTCTCTCTCTAACTCTCTGCCTTTCAAATAAAAAAAATCAATCTTTATTAAAAAAAAAATGCAAGTTCTTTATGCAACTTGACTTTCTCCATTCTGAAACTCTGACAAGTTTCCATCAATTGATTAACCAAGTTATGTCACCAACATAGGATAACTCATTCATATAAATAATCTTTGCATATCTCCTCATCTGCTTATAGTAGGAAGAGCACAAAATAATATCAGGAGACTTGATTTAAAGCCTTTGCTCTATGCTACTGACTTGAAAAAGTTACAGAGCTCTGGGCTCTGATTCTGTGTATAAAACAGGATTATTACCTCTTCATAATAGATTGAGTATTCTTTATCCAGAAATCTTGGGACCTAAAGTGTTTTGGATTTATTTATTTATTTTTGGATTTTGGAATATATAATGAGATATCTTGGGGATAAGACCCAAGTCTAAAAATATAATTCATTTATGTTTCATATACTTTATACGTATAACCTGAATAGGTTGTGTGCTGTGTGCCTGTGTTTTGACTGCAACTCATCACATAAGGTCAGGTTTAGAATTTTTGACTTACAATATTGTGTCAGTGCTCAAAAAGTTTCATATCTTGAGACACTTTTGTTTTCAAACTTTCAGATTGGGGAAGCTCAACTTGCTGTAACAGGACTAAATAAGGAAGTGAATTTAAAATGCTGGCATAGCATATAATACATATTAGATTAATTTTAATTCATACTTCCTGCTGGGTCTTCTTTTCCTCATATGTAGAGTATAAGTTGAAAGGTGTGTACTAAATCAGCAGCTTCTCAATGTTATTCCATATCTCTTGCTGGGTGGCCAAGGGGAAGCCAGAATGGGAAGGTCTTTGGTTCTCCATCTTTTACTTTTTTAAGATTATTTATTTGAAAGGCAGAGTTACAGAGAGGCAAAGGCAGACATGGAAAGAGAGAAGTCTTTTATCTGTTGGTTCACTCCTGAAATGGCTGCAATGGCCCAAGCTGGGCCTATCTGAAGCCAGGAGGCTGGAGCTTCCTCCAGGTCTCCCACACGGATGCAGGGGCCCAAGCACCTGGGCCATCTTCCACTGCTTTCCCAGTCTATAAACAGAGAGCTGGATTGGAAGAGGAGCAGCTGGGATTGGAACCAGTACCCACATGGGATGCTGGCACTGCAGGCCGGGGCTTCAACCCACTGCGCCACAAGCACCCGCTCCTCCATCCTTTACTTTAATAAGAGCTGCTTTTCTGTGCTTTAGAGTCCCTGGGAAAATATTGTTGGGAAAAAACGAAGTCTGCAACCTTGAAAAATGTTAAAAACAGAGTGAGTGGTAAGCATTTGGTACAGTGGTTAACACACTGCTTGGGACTCCTGCATTCTATGTCTGAGTGCCAGCATTTGAGTCCTGACTCTGCCTCCAATTCCATCTTCCTGCAGTTGTGCACCCTGGGAGACAGCAGATAATGGGTTAAATACTTGGGTCACTCCCACCCACGTGGGAGACCTTGATTGAGTTCCAGCTGTTGATTTTAGCATGGCCCATCCCTGACTGTTGTGGGGTTTGGAGGAGTGAACCAGTGGATGGAAGATCTCTGTTTCTCTGTCTCTGGCTTTGCCTTTCAGATAAAGTGAAAATTTAAATTTAAAATTAAATTAGCTAGTATCTTCCAGCTTTAAAAAATACTGCTTTATATTATTCTAGACTCTCTTACAGAGAAATATTCATTTTTTTTTATAGTTCTCTTGCTATGAGCCCAGGTGAAGAAATCTTAACCTTATTACAAACAACACCATTTGAAATAGAGGAGCTTAAGAAAGAGGAGGCTGATCTTCCCCCAGAGGATGGTAAGTAATGGACCAGAGTAGAAAGGTTAGAAAGAATTAAAATGTTCCACTAAGTTTCACAGGGCCCTTCCCTGAGAGTACATGTCATGTGACTGTAGGATAGCAATATCATGCTTTTTTCTTTTTCAGATGATAAATGGTTAGATCTCTCACCAGATCAGTTGGACCAGCTACTGCAGGAAGCTGCTGGCAAAAAAGAATCACAATCCATTTCCAAGGAGGAAGAGGAACAGAACTATGACTTAAATCAAGTGTCAAAGAGCATGAAAGCTTTCATATCCAAAGTCTCAACCCACAAGGGAGCAGAGCTGCCTCGGTAATTTGCATTAAAGTATAAATATTTAAATAACCCGAAGGTTGAAGACATTCATTCATTGCCATTTCCATTTTTCTTTACTTTCTTTCATTTTCTTCTTTTTTTTTTTCCTTTTGAAAGATTGATTTATTTATTTGAAAGAGTTACACAGAGAGAGAAGGAGAAGCAGAAAGAGAGAGGTCTTCCATCCAATGGCCCACTCCCCAATTGGCCACAAGACCAGAGCTGCGCTGATCTGAAGTCAGGAGCCAAGAGCTTCCTCGGGGTCTCCCACATGGATGCAGGGGCCCAAGGACCTGGGCCATCTTCTACTGCCTTCCCAGGCCATAGCAGAAAGCTGGATTGGAAGTGGAACAGGCAGGACTCGAACTGGCGGCCACATGGGATGCTGGCACAGTAGGCAGCGGCTTTACCCACTATGCCACAGCACTGGACCCCCTTTTTTTTTTCCAATGAGTAAATGATTTGTATGGCTTTGTTTCACTCTCCTGTACCCTTCATGGTGATAACTTGCTCATCTGAAATAAGATTTCCAGTGATTCTTTTCAGTTCTTGAAGTAAGCCAGAAAGACTCGTCCACACATCTAGAACATACCATCTAGAACCATTCAAGGAAGTCATATACTTTATGGACTCTTAACATCTGACACTTGAGAGCAGGCATTTAGCCTTGCGGTTAAAATGCCTATGTCTCATGTTGGAGTGCCTGACTTTGATTCCGAGGTCCAACTCCTGACTCCCATTTCCCACCAGTGCAAACCCTATGAGGTAGCAGCGATAGCTCAAATAATTGGATCCCTGCCATCCATGTGTGAGCCCTGGATTCTACCAGCTTTGATGCAGCTCTGGCTATTGCAAGCTTTTGGGGAATGAACCAGCACATTAAAGCTCTTTTCTCTTTCTTTCTTTCTCTCTCTCTTTCTGCCTTTAAAATAATTTTAATAAAAATCTGCGTAGTAGGTAAAGCCTCTGCCTGCAACGCCAACATCCCATATGGGCACCAGTTTCAGTCCTGGCTGCTCCACTTACAGTCCAGCTGCCTACTGATAGCCTGGAAAAGCAGTAGAAGATGGCCCAAGTGCTTCCCTGTGCCCACCTGGGAACCTGGAAGAAGCTCCTGGCTCCTGACTTCGAATTGGCTCAGCTCCAGCCATTGTGTCCATTTGTGTAGAGTACCAGCAGATGGAAGATCTCTGTTTTCTCTCTCTCTCTGTAACTCTGCCTTTTAAATGAATAAATAAATCTAAAAAACCAGAAAAATTTAGCTCTACAGCCTTCATTGTGGTGTAGCAGGTTAAACTGCCACCTGCAGTGCTGACACCTCATACTGGTTCAAGTTGCAGCTGCTCCACTTCCAATCCAACTCTCTGCTGATGCACCTGAGAAAGCAGCAGGAGTTGGGCCAAGGGCTTGGCCTTCTGCATTCATAGGGGAGAACTGGAAGAAGCTCCCAGCTCCTGGCTTCTGCCTTGCCCAGTCCCTACCATTGTGGCCATCTGGGGAGTGAACCAGAAGATGGAAGACCTTTCTCTCTCTGTCTCTCCCTCTCTGTAACTCTGTCTTTGAAATAAATAAATAAATAAGCAAATCTTTTTTTTTTTTAAGATATATTTATTTTATTTGAAAGGCAGAATTAAAGTGAGGCAGAGGCAGAGAGAGAGACAGAGAGAGAGAGAGAGGTCTTCCATCCACTAGTTCACTCCCCAGACGGCCGCAACACCAGAGCTGGGCAGATCTGAAGCCAGGAGCCAGGAGCTTCTTCTGGGTCTCCCACGCAGTTGTGCAGGGGCCATAGTCTACTGCTTTCCCAGGCCATAGCAGAGAGCTGGATCAGAAGTGAAGTAGCGGGGACTTGAACTGGCACCCATATGGGATGCTGGCAGTGCAGGCAATGGCTTTACCCATTAAGCCACAGCACCAGCCCCACAAATCTTTTTTAAAAATTAAAAAAAATCTGTCTCTCAATAAGCTCAGTCTTCTGATCTCCCATCCTGCAGCAGATTAGAAGCTGCAAACTCAAGGCGATAAAGAGGCTCTTCAGAGGCAGAAATAATTTCAAGAAATATGAAATTACACTTGACAAGTAACAGGAAAAGATAGATTAGACTTCATACTTGCACAGCAAATATATCTATCAATGGTGCTCTTGAGCTTCTTGAAAATATTAAAATTTACATCTACTTTTCTCTTTTTAAGAAAACAGAATAACAGAAGTTATGTTCTTACTTATTTTTAGGCTTTAGGTAAAGGAATAAACTTTGTTTAATTCAAGGGTAGGGAACGTCTGGCCTGCAGGCCATACAGGCCTGTGAAATTATTCTGGTCCTGCCAAGGCAACCACAGGTGGGACTCAAAATTCAATAAATCTTTACTGGTTAATTTTTTCTTTTTATAAGATTTATTTATTTATTTGAAGATAGAGACAGAGAGGTCTTCAATCCACTGGTTCACTCCCCAAATGGCCACAGTAGCTGGAGCTGGGCCTATCTGAAGCCAGGAGCCTGGAGCTTCTTTCAGGTCTCCCAAGTGGGTGCAGGGGCCCAAGGACTTGGCCCATCCTCTGCTGCTTTCCCAGGCCATAGCAGAGAGATGCATCAGAAGTGGAGCAGCCGGGACTTGAACTGGTGCCCATATAGGATGCCGACACTGCAGGCAGCTTCTTTACCTGCTACACCAGAGCTCCAGCCCCACTAGATATATCTTGTGAGGGGGTACAGGGTGGGTAGTTCCTTAAATGCATAAGCTCAATGAGCATAAAGAAGTTATAATTTTTTCTTTTCTTTATCAGACTTTTTATTTCACTTGCCTTGCAAGGGCGGTAGGCATAAGGATTTTTTAAATTTGAGCTGCAATTTTCCTTTCTGTTTTTGTTTTGAGGTTATATCTTTGTAGTTTTCCTAAGAATGACAACACCTTAGAAAAAGTGTCCAAGAGCTATGTTTGGCATATGTTAATTACCTTTTTCCTTAATCTTGCAGAGAACCTTCAGAGGCTCCAATCACTTTTGATGCAGATTCTTTTCTTAATTATTTTGATAAGATTTTAGGTAAGTTATATATGATCTGTACTTTCGTTTTGAAACTGTAAATCATGACTTTTATTAGCGCATCAGAGCATTAGATCTCTCAGAGACAAGACTTCTGCTCTCTCTTCCTAGTGTTGATTGCTTTCAGCCAACAAAACCATTAACTGCCCTATTAAGTGATGTTACAGAAACTGGCTAGCTCAGTGCTTACCATAATGACTACTCATGAAAAGTTTGAATGAAGCTTGTTTGTTGAGATACAATATTACTTTGGCTCCCACATTCTATTGTTTTGGCTCCTTTAGACTTAGTATATTTACAAATCAGTAATCTAAAAAAAATAGACAAGTGGCCCAATAAGAAATTTAGTACAAGGTGCCAACGCCGTGGTGCAGCAGGTTAATCCCCTGCCTGCGGCGCCGGCATCCCATATGGGCGCCGGTTCTAGTTCTAGCTGCCTCTTTTCCAGTCCAGCTCTCTGCTATGGCCTGGGAAAGCAGTAGAAGATGGCCCAAGTCCTTGGGCCCCTGCACCTATGTGGGAGACCTGGAAGAGGCTCCTGGCTCCTGGCTTCAGATCGGCGCAGCTCCGGCCATTGCGGCCATTTGGGGAGTAAACCAACAGAAGGAGGACCTTTCTCTCTGTCTCTCTCTCACACTGTCTGTAACTCTACCTCTCAAATAAAATAAATAAAGTCTTAAAAAAAAAAATAAAAGAAATTTAGTACAAGCTATAAACAGGCAGAGCACTAAAGAAGAAAGAAATAGTAAATGAGTAAGTGTTTGAAAATAGTTAATTATTTCTAATAAGCAAGCAAGAAAATATAAAACAAATAAGCTGCCCATCATTCAGGAAAAATTTTGATTCCCAATAAGCAGTTTTTTCAAGGGTTAAAAAACAATGAGCAGTGTTATATTCTGAGGCTAGAAGCGAGTGTTGTTTTTCCACAGAGCAATGTGTCACTCTAGATTGTTCATACTTGGTGACTGCAATTTCACTTCCATGGATCTACCCTGAAAAAGATACATAGAATATACATAAAAGAACATACTTTAAAAAGTTTATGGGAAGTGGAATTAAAAGATGTTTATTTTGATTCAAAAAAGTTAGAAATCTATGCATGAGAGGTTTTCAAGAATTCATAGAAATGTGTATTATGAGAAAAGTGTATGTGGATTTCAGGAATTTTTGTACCAAAATAAATTTACCTCTAATTTCAATTTTTATTTATTTATTTGAAAGAGAGTGATCCCATCTGCAGGTTTACTCCTCAAATGCATTCAGCCGCTGGAGCTGGGACAGAACTAAAACTAGGAGGTAGGAATGCAATCCAGGTTTCCTATATGGTAGCAAGAACTAAACTCTTGAGCCATCACTGCTGCCTCCCAAGATCTGCACTTAGGAGCTAGAGCCAGGAATCAAACCCAAGTACTCTGATAACGGGGTGTGAGCATCTTAACCACTAGGCTAAAAGGCCACTTCTAAATTCAGTTTTTTAGTTCAGTTTAAAAAAATTCTTATCTATTTGTTTTCATTTTGAAAGAGAGGTAGACAAAGAAAGATCTTCCATCTACTGGTTCACTCTCCAAATACCTGCAACAGCCATGCCTAGGGCAGGCTGAAGCCAGGAGCCTAGCACTCCTCTAGGATCTCCCACTTAGTTTCCTAGGGCTCAAGTACTTGAGCCATCATCTGGTGCTTCCCAGGATACACATTAGCAGGAAGTGTGATTGGAAGTGAAGGATCCAGGACTTGAACCAGTAACTCTGATATGGGTTGTGGGCATTCCAAGTAATTAACAAACCACTATGCCCAATGCCTGTCTGTAATTCCATTTTGCCATGGACTTTTTGGAGTTGTCTTGTCTATTCTAGGATAGTCCTAGCATTGTAACAGCAAAAATTGGAATATCCTAAGTATCTACCCAGAGGGTTAAATAAGTCATTGTATATCCATATTATGAAATCTGCATAGCTGTAGTTCAGAATGAGGTCCCTATCTGTATTCAGATAGAGAAAAATTTATAAGATGTATAAATAAATGGAAAAGCAGGGGCCGGCACTGTGGTACAGTATATTAATCCTCCGCCTACAGAGCCAGCATCCCTTATGTGTGCCAGTTTGGTCCCGGCTGCTCCTCTTCCGATGCAGCTCTCCTGTGGTCCAGGAAGGCAGTGGAAGATGACCCAAGTGCTTGGACCTCTGAATCTGTGTGGGAGACCTGAAAGAAGCTCCTGGCTCCTGGCTTTGGATTGGCCCAACTCCAGCCATTACGGCCATTTGGGGAATGAACCAGTGGATGGAAGACTTTTCTCTCTATCTCTTCCTCACTGTCTGTAACTCTACCTCTCCAATAAAAAAATAAAAAATCTTTAAAAAAAAATTGAAAAGCAAACCATAATTCAGTATGAACACTGTGATACCATCTGTGTATAAAAGAAAAACTATGGTTTTTTTTTAAAGATTTATTTACTTATTTACATGAAAGAGTTACAGAGAGAGAAGAAGAGGCAGAGAGAGAGAGAGAGAGAGAGAGAGAGAGAGAGGTCTTCCATCCACTGGTTCACTTCCCAGTTGGCCGCAACGGCCGGAGCTGCACCATTCCGAAGCCAGGAGCCCGGTGATTCTTCTGGGTCTCCCATGCGGGTGCAATGGCCCAAGGACTTGGGCCATCCTCCACTGCCCTCCCAGGCCACAGCAGAGAGCTAGACCAGAAGTGGAGCAGCTGGGACACAAAGAGGCACCCATATGGGATACCAGCACTGCAGGTGGTGGCTTTACCCACTGCGCCACAGCACTGGCCCCCAAAACTATGTGTTTATGTAGTGAATGTACAGCACTGCATAGATGTCTGTATGTCTACCAAACTGTTAAAAAGATGCTTACCTCTGAGAAGTTAGTGAAATGTAAGACAGAATTTATGGCTTGAATCAAAATATATATATGTGTACTATGTAGTTTTAAAATTTTTTAAGAAAAAATGTTAATTAAAATTCGCTTTAAAACATAAAAGGCTGAATCCTTTGGCGCAGCCTGTGTAGTTTCCCATAAATGTCTGCAAGCATCACTATTTGTGGAAGGCATCTTTTTTTTTTTTTTTTTCACACCTGTCTGATGGTACCAAAAGCCAATAACAATTAACATTTTTTTTTAACTTTTATTTAATGAATATAGATTTCCAAAGTACAGCTTATGGACTACATTGGCATCCCCCTCCCCCGCAATGACTTCCCTCCCACCCGCAACCCTCTCCTTTCCCACTCTCTCTCCCCTTCCATTCATATCAAGATTCATTTTCAATTTTCTATATATACAAAAGATCAGTTTAGTCTACATTAAGTAAAGATTTCAACAGTTTGCACCCCCATAGAAACACAAAGTGAAATATACTGTTTGAGTACTCGTTATAGCATTAAATCTCAATGTACAGCACATTAAGGACAGAGATCCTACATGAGGAGTAAATGCACAGTGACTCCTGTTGTTGACTTTACAAATTGACACTCCTGTTTATGGCATCAGTAATCTCCCTATGCTCCAGTCATGAGTTTCCAAGGCTATGGAAGCCTTTTGAGTTCTCCGACTCTTATCTTGTTTAGACAAGGTCATAGTCAAAGTGGAGGTTCTCTCCTCCCTTCAGAGAAAGGTACCTCCTTCTTTGAAGACCTGTTCTTTCCACTGGGATCTCACTCACAGAGATCTTTCATTTAGGTTTTTTTTGTTTTTGTTTTTGTTTTTGTTTGCCAGAGTGTCTTGGCTTTCCATGCCTGAAATACTCTCATGGGCTTTTCAGCCAGATCCGAATGCCTTTAGGGCTGATTCTGAGGCCAGAGTGCTGTTTAGGACATCTGCCATTCTATGAGTCTGCTGTGTATCTCGCTTCCCATGTTGGATCACTCTCCTGGAAGGCATCTTTGTGAAGTAACTTGGCTATGTAAAATGCTCATTTTCTGTTTGTAACATTCTAATTCTTTTGAGAGGTGTAAGCAACTGAAAAAAATTTTTTTCAAGTGTCTTTTTCTGTGTTGGGGTCTGCACAGGGCCAGGGCCTCATGAGTCAGACTCTGATGATCTGGAGGAGGAAGATTTTGAATGTTTAGACAGTGATGATGACTTGGACCTTGGAATGCAGGAACCTGGAGAAGAGGCCTCTCTGAAAGGAACTCTGGATAATCTCAAGTTATACATGGCCCAGATGGACCAGGAACTGGCACACACCACCATTGGCAAAAGTTTCACCACCCGGAAGCAAGCAGTATGTGTGTTTTTAACTTCCTTTCCATTTCTAAGTCTATTTTGTAGGATAGCTAAAACCATGTTTATTTTTCCCCCCAAATTTGTGAGATTTGAATAAATAAATAATAATGCTATTTTTTCCAAACCCTGGTAGGATGAAAGATTATATACATTTTATTTTCTAGATATAAGTTTAATTATATTGCTTATTTTATGTTATCTATTTAAAATAAATAGAATATACTGAAATTAGTGTATGGTTGCATGCTTCTACTTCCATCATAATAAATAGGTTTTTTTAAGATTTTTTTTTTTTTATTTGAAAGGCAAATACAGAAAGAAAGAGAGAGAGACAGAGAGAAAGGTCTTCCAGCTGCTGGTTCATTCCCAAGTGGCTGCAATAACCAGGGCTGTGCCAGGCTGAAGCCAGGAACCAGGAGTTTCTTATGGGTCTTCCACACTGGGGCAGAGGACCAAGGACTTGGTCCATCTTCTGCTGCTTTCCCAGGCACATTAGCAGGGAGCTGGATTGGAAGTGGAGCAGCCAGAACCCGAATCTGCGCCCAGATGGGATGCTGGTGCTGTAGGCTGCGGCTTACCCTGCTAAGCCATGGTGCTGGCCCCAATAAATAGATTTTTTTAAAAAGAGGGCCTTAAATATCCAAATAATTTTCATATTTTAAGTTTGTTTTATCTTTCCCTAGTTTAAAACCAAATTTAAAGTTCATCCTAGTTTGTCAGTACTGTGTACCCTAGACAGAGGCATTCTAAAGAAAGAGCATGGAGCCTGAGTGAGTGTCCTGGTTTAGGGTTTGAAATCTAGTTTAGCCATCAATTGTGAATGTGTCCATTAACCAGTGATGATGCCATAGAATGAACAGAGAACCTAATGAGTTCACAGTAAAATCCATAAAAGGGCTGTAATTAATGTTGATTCCCCTTTTTTGATTATCTAAAGCACAGGTAAAATTGGTTTCTTTTAGAATTTCCAAAACCTAATAGAAACTATATATTAGGTGTAGTTAAAACAATATTTCTTAAATTTTATTGTCATCACTAGCCAACTAAAGATCTTTTTATACTGTAGATACTATTTTTTTTAAGATTTTATTTTATTTATTTGAAAGAGTTAGAGAGGTAGAGACAGAGTTCTTCCATCCGCTGGTTCACTCCCCAAATGGCTGCAATGGCCAGAGCTGCGCCAATCCGGAGTCAGGAGCTTCTTCCAGCTCTCCCATGTGGGTACAGGGGCCCAAGGACTTGGGCCACCCTCAGCTGTTTTCCCAGGCACATTAGCAGGGAGCTGGATTGGAAGTGGAGCAGCTAACACTCCAACCGGCACCCATTGGAATGCCAGTGCTGCAGGTCGGAGCTTTAACCCACTGCATCACAGTGCTGGCCCATGTAGATTCTAATTAAGCAGGTCTGGGATGAGGCCTGCAGTTTTTATTTCTTTTCTTTTCTTTTTTTTTTTTTTTTTTTTTTTTTTTTTTTTTTTAGATTTATTTATTTTAAAGCGTTAGAGACAGAGCGAGAAGGTCCTCCATACATACACTGGTTCACTTCCCAAACAGCCACAACGGCCAGAGCTGAGCTGATCTGAAGCCAGGAGTCAAGAGCTTCTTCTGGGTCTCCCATATGGATGCAGGAGCCCGATGACTTGGGCCGTCCTCTGCTGCTTTCCCAGCATATTAGCAGGAAGCTGGATCAGAAGTAGAGCAGCCAGGTCTCGAACCAGTGCCCATATAGGATGTTGGGGCTGCAGGCTGAGACTTTAACCTGCTGTGCCACAGTGCCATCCCCAAGATTTTTAATTTCTTACAAGCACTGAGTGATACAGATACAGGTAGTCCACATACCACACTTTCAGTTTCAGTGAAGTGAAGGTCTATAGATGAAGCCAAAATCTTTCAAATCCTTTCTCCAACCTTTGAAATCAGAGGTCCAAGTAACAATTCAGTCTTTGTCATTGGATCCCCACAAAACCTTATGTTTCTATTTTAAGATTCTTCATTGGGGATTAAAAAGGAAATATAGTGGGGCTGGCACTGTGGCGTAGCAGGTAAAGCCACCTCTGCATTGCTGGCTCCCATATGGATGCCAGTTCAAGTCCCAGCATTGCCCGATTCCTTGGGCCCCTGCACTGCATGGGAGACTTGGGAGAAGCTCCTGGCTCCTGGATCCTGGCTTCATACAGGCCCAGCTTCGGCCATAGCGGCCGTTTGGGGAGTAAACCAGTAGATGGAAGACTTCTGCCTGTGCCTCTCAAATAAGTAAATAAATCTTCCAAAAATATTTAAAAATGAAATATAGCTTCTTTCACTTAGAAGAAAATTTAATTTTTGTTTTTTTAATATTCAAATTTATTTAATTTTTTTTAAAGAATTGTTTATTTGAAAGGCAGAGATACAGAAAGGGAAGGAGAGAGAGAAAGATGAGATCTTCTATCTGGTGGTCCACTCCCCAAATGGCCAACAACAGCCAGGGCTGGGCCAGGCTGAAGCCAGGAGCCTGGAGCTTCTTCCAGGTCTCCCATGTGGGTTCAGGGGCCCAAGCACTTGGATCATCCCCTGCTGCTTTTCAGGCTCAGCAGCATGGAGCTGGACCAGAAGTGAAGCAGCCCAGGACTCAAACTGGAGCCCATAGGAGATACTGACACTGCAGGCAGAGGCTTAACCTTCTACACCACAGCAACAGCCCCAGTGTTGATTTCTTTAAAAATTCTTTGGCAGGCTATAAATTACCTGCTTAATCCTAGTTGTCTCCTTTCAGCTATTTCATAGTGGGAGTGAAATAATGCAGTTTATTGACATTGTTACTAGAAAGAAGCATGATATAATCTTTAGAATGAAGTTTTTATTTTTTTTAAGATTTTTAAAATTATTTATCTCTCCCTCTGTAACTCTACCTCTCAAATAAATAAACTTTTTTAAAAGGTTTATAAATTTTTTTTTTTTTTTTGACAGGCAGAGTTAGTGAGAGAGAGAGACCAAGCGAAAGGTTTTCCTTCCGTTGGTTCACCCCACAAATGGCTGTTATGGCTGGCACGCAGCGCTGATCTGAAGCCAGGAGCCAAGTGTTTCCTCCTGGTCTCCCATGCGGGTACAGGGCCCAAGCACTTGGGCCATCCTCCACGGCCTTCCCAGGCTACAACAGAGAGCTGGACTGGAAGAGGAGCAGCTGGGACAGAATCCAGTGCCCCGACTGGGACTAGGGTGCCGACGCCGCAGGCGGAAGGATTAGCCTAGTGAGCTGCAGCGCCAGCCAAAATTTTATTTGAGAGGCTAAGTTACAGAGAGGTTTTTTAAAATATATATTTATTTTATTTATTTGAAAGAGTTACAGAGAGGTAAAGACAGAGAGAGAAGTCTTTAATCTGCTGGTTCACTCCCCAAGTGGCCGCAACAGCCAGAGCTGGGCCTATCTGAATCCAGAAGCCAGGGGCTTCTTCTGATCCTCTACATGGGTGCAAGGACCCAAGCACTTGGGTCATCTTCCACTGCTTTCTCAGCCCATTATTAGGGGGCTGGATCAGAAGTGGAGCATCTGGGACCTGAACTGGCGCCCATATGGGATGCAGGCAGAGGCTTAGCCCACTATGCCACAGCAGCGTCCCCTAGAATGAAGTTTTAATATGTGTGTTAAATCATATAGTTAATTAGACTTCATTTTCACTTTATAACACAAAGGATAAGAAATATCCTCTTTGATTTGGAATTCAGATTTACTAGTTAGCTTTTTATTATATCTAATATCCAACCCAAGGGAATATTATCTCATGATTTTGTTTTTCTTCTTGAATAAGGAACCTGCATCCCAAACTACCGATAACAATTCAGATGAGGAAGATTCTGGTGCAGGAGAACCTGTTTTGGCACCAGTGGATGTAGACTTGAACCTGGTTTCAAACATCCTGGAATCCTATAACTCTCAAGCTGGACTGGCAGGACCCGCTTCCAACCTCCTCCACAGCATGGGAGTGCAGCTGCCTGACAACACAGATCACAGACCTACCAGTAAGCCGACAAAGGACTAATGAGCACACCTTGTTTCTCTTTTTCTTTTTAAATAAATACTGAGTCTCAATGTTTTCCTTTCTAGTTTAGATAACTCATTTAGTAAAAATGTTTCTTCATTACAAGTTTCAGAGTTTTCTCCCTCAGCCTCTAAAGTTGATCTCTGCCTAAGTCTTTGTGATCTCAGAAAGACTCTGGGATACACAGGAGGTTTTAGAATCAGCAGGATAGGATTGAGCCCCAGGACAATCTCTAAGATGGCAATTACATGCTCCATGTTAAAACCATACCCTACCACAATTTACCCTTGGTATTATTCTGGTTAAGTTTTCCATTAAGTATATTCATCCTCAGGTCAAAATTCCAAGTTGGCAAATTTGAGTTGATGACTCATTCTCTTTTACTAATTCTTTTAACGGGTCACACAATAAAGTGCACAAATCTTAAGTGGAAAATTAGTGAATTTTTGCATGTATGTACCTAAATCAAGATAAAGAATTTACTACTTTAAAAAAACAGTTTTTTGCCGGCGCCGCGGCTCACTAGGCTAATCCTCCGCCTAGCGGGGCCGGCACACCGGGTTCTAGTCCCGGTTGGGGCGCCGGATTCTGTCCCGGTTGCCCCTCTTCCAGGCCAGCTCTCTGCTGTGGCCAGGGAGTGCAGTGGAGGATGGCCCAAGTGCTTGGGCCCTGCACCCCATGGGAGACCAGGAGAAGTACCTGGCTCCTGCCATCGGATCAGCGCAGTGCGCCGGCTGCAGCGTGCTGGCCGCAGCCATTGGAGGGTGAACCAACGGCAAAGGAAGACCTTTCTCTGTCTCTCTGTCTCTCTCTCTCACTGTCCACTCTGCCTGTCAGTGGATTCAAAAAAAAAAAAAACAGTTTAAATGAGCTATAATTTCTATATCAAAAAATTGACTCCTTTAAGTTTTAATTCTTTTCTTTTGAAGATTTATTCATTTATTTTAAAGGCAGACATGCACAGAGGAGGAGAGAGAGCTCTTCCACCTGTTGCACACGCCCCAAATGGCCGCAGTGGCCGGGGCTGGCCCAGGCCAGAGCCAGGAGCTTCCTCCAGGTCTCCCACGTCATTACAGGGGCCCATGGACTTGGGCCATCTGCTGCTGCTTTCCCAGGTACATTAACAGGGAGCTGGATCAGAAATGGAGCAGCCAGAAATCTTACTGATACCCTTATGGGATGCCAGTGCCGTGGGCGGAGGCACTTCCAGTGGGGAATGCAGGCATCCCAAGCAGTGGCTTAACCTGTTATGCCACAATGCTCACCCTAAATTTATTCCTTTTTTTTTTTTTTTTTTTTTTTTTTTTTATGCATTTGCAAAGGTAGAGTTGAGAGAGAGAGAAGGAGGGAGAGAATTTTCTATTTGCAAGTTCTCTCCCCAGATGGCTGCAACAGCCTGGGGCTGGAACTGGGCCATACTGAAGCCAGGAGCCTGGAACTCCATCCAGGTGTTCCACATGGGTGGCAGGGGCCTAAGTACTGGGGCATCTTCTGCTGCTTTCTCAGGTGCATTAGTAGGGAGCTGAATCGGTAGTGGAGCAGCTGGGACTTGAATTGGCACTCATATAGGATGCCAGTATGACAGGCAGTGGCTTAACCCTCTGTGCTGCAGGTCTGGCCCCAAATTTATTCCTTTGAAGTATATAATTCCAGGACCAGATTTGTGGTGTAGTGAGTAAAGATTCCATCTGTAACACCAACATCTCATATGGGTGCTGATTTGTCTTAGCTGCTCCACTTCTGACCCAGCTCCCTGCTAATGACCTGGGAAAAGCAGCAGATGGCCTTAGGCTCCTACACCCACATGGGAGACCTGGAATGCGCTCCTGGCTCCTGCCTCAGCCTCAGCCTGGCCCAGCCCTGGCCGTTGCAGCCGTCTGAGGAATGAACCAGTGGATGGAAAAATCTCGCTCTCTGTCTCCCCCGCTCTCCCTGTAACTTTGACTTTCAAAAAACAAATAATTCTTAAAAAAAAAAGTATATAATTCTGGGTCCTTTATTTAACTTGGTGGTTAAGAAGCCCACATCCCATATCAGAGTAACTGCTTTATTTAATTTTTTTTAAGATTTATTTATTTATTTTTTTGAAAGGCAGATTTACAGAGAGATAGACCCAGAGGGAGAGAGAGGTCTTCCATCTGCTGGCTCACTCCCCAGATGGCCGCTATGGCTGGAGCTGTGCTGATCTGAAGCCAGGAGCCTGTACCCTGCTCTCCCACGTGGGTGCAGGGGCCCAAGGACTTGGTCCATCTTCTGCTGCTTTTCCAGGCCATGGCAGAGAACTGGATCAGAAGTGGAGCAGCTGGGACTTGAATTGGTGCCCATATGGGATGCTGGCACTGCAGGTGATGGCTTTACCTGCTGCGCCACAGCGCCAGCCTCAGTAACTGGTTTAAATACCTGGCTCTTGGTCCTGACACCAGCAGACCCTGGGAGGTAGCAGTGATGGCTAAAGTAATGAGATTCCTGCCACCCACCTGGGAGCCCCAACACAGCCCCAGTCATTGCAGGCATTTGGAGGGTGAACCAGCAGCTGAGTGTACTCACTTGCACTCTCTCTGCTCCTGAAAAAAAAGTGTAAAATTAAGGGGCATTTAGTGTATTTATACTAAATTACTACTATCTGAATTCTAGAACATTTTCATCATCCCCCAAAGAAACTCTTGTACCACTTAGGGTCACACCCCATTCAATCCTGCTTTCCAGCCCCTAGAAACCACTTATCTACTTCCTGCTTCTATGCATTTCCCTGTTTTGGATATTTTAAATGTTGACACTATATTTGTTTAAATGAATTGACAGAAATTTGATATTTAAAGTAGCTATTATCTGTTACTAAGATGAATTATTATTATTATTATTTTTTTTTGGCCAGGCAGAGTTAGACAGTGAGAGAGAGAGAGAGAGAGAGAGAAAGGTCTTCCTTCTCTCTGTACAGATCCTGGGAGGCAGCAGTGATTACTCAGGTGAATGCATTTCTGCCACCCAATGGGAGAGCTGGAGTGAGCTCCTACTTCCCAGCTTTGACCCAAATTCCAGACACTCCAGGCAATGGAAGACTGAAGCAGTGAAGGAATGAACTTGATCTCTCACAGTGTGTAGATAGAACACAAAGGGCAGGTGGTCAGCCTGGCAGTGGACTCACCAGTTCGGATGTCTGTATCCCAGATCGCAGCACTTGTTAGATACCCGGCTCCAGCTCCTGACTTCCGGTTCCTGTTCATGCAGGCCCTGGAAGGGGGGGGGGGGGGCACGGGTGATGGCTCAAATGACGGAGTTCCTGCCACCTTGGAGGACATCTGGATTCTACTTCTGGCTCCCACGATTGGCATCAGCCTGCTCCAGCTGTGGTGGGGCTGCAGAGAAAGAACCATGTGATGAGAACACTATCTATATATTGATCTCTATTTCCACATCTATTTCTTTGTCTCTTTCTGCCAATAATTTTTAAAAAACAGTTCTATATTGCATGTTGCCAAGTATATTGCCTTCTAGAAAAGTCAGAGAATACAGGCACAGTTCATAGACCAGCAGTTGACAAGAGAAGGGTGAATGGGTGGAGCCCAGTGGATTTACAGGACATTGAAACTACTCTGTGTGTCACTGTATTAATGGACCCAGGATGGCATGGATTTGTCAGAACCCACAGAATGTACAACACAGATCAACACTAATATAACATATAGACATTATCTGATAATACTGTTGTATCTCTACAGTGGTTCAACAATTGTAACCAACATGTCACACTCAAGCAAGATGTTAATTTGAGGGGGGACACACTAAAACTTGGGGACAATACAAGAGGACTCTCTGTGCTGTCTACTCTATTCTCTGTAACCGGAAACAGTGCTGAAAGACAATTCCACTGACTGACAAAACAGGAAAACTACAGACTGGGAGATAATATTTGCACATCAGATACTTTAGATAAATGAATGGGGAAACATAAAGACACTCAGGATTCAACACTAACAAACCAAACAGCAAAATAAAAGGGAAGAAATGTTATGTCCAGTTCAGTTGTCCCCAAAGACCACCAAGGAGCCGATACCGCTATAAAGCACACGAGAGTTTTATTGCAGGTCCGGGCCTGGACTCTCAATCAGCACAGACTCAGTGCATCTGAATTAAGAGCCCCGACCCTTCAGTTAACAGGGTTTTTATAGGGTTTTCCGAGACATTCTATACATCATGGTACTATTAAGCAAATCATCTCATCCCACGGGAAATTCAAAGGACATCTCCTAGAATTGATTAGTGCATCAAGTGGCGGGAACGGACCTACTACAGGTGGTTGGATGACTTTGGAGTTGATGCCTTTTGAATTGATTGGCCGAAGCATAGGGTCCGAGCTGCTGGGGTGTACGTGCCGAACTGAAGGTCTCAGGAAGCTATTAATGACCTTATCTGCCCTGAGAAGACACCAGGAACCCTAGGTATTTCTCTGTTATCTGCTAATCGGCTGTTGCTAGGAGAGTTTATCACAAGGGGAGTTCATTTATTTACTTTTAGGAGCTTCTGGCTCAAAGTTCAGGGCCTGGTCAAGCCCAAGTTTCAAGATGGAGGCCTAACTTAAAATAGTTACACCTTGATCCAGGCTCAGGTCTCACAGAAATACTAAACAGACAATACACAGACACAGACATTCAAACAGCAAATAAAAACCTGAAGAGATGCTCCACAGTATTCCTCAGTAGGGAAATCTGAATTCCTGTAACAGTGAGATACAACAACCCATTGAAATGGTTAATACTGACAAGAAGAAAAATGATACCAAAATCTTGGGGAGAATATAGAGCAACTAAAATACCCACACATTCCAAGTGAAACTCCAAATGCAACACTATTTCTGTTAATTTGTACTTACTTATTTCAAAGGCAGAAATCAGACAGAAAGGCCTCCATACTGCTGCTTCACTACCCAGAGGCTCCAAACAGCTGAGGTAGGACCAGGGGGAATCCAAAACTGGGAATTCAATCTGTGTGGACTCGTCCTGTGAGGTCTGCACTGCCAGGATGGTGGGACGACTGCGTTCTTCGACAAAAACCACCAGAGACAAGTTTGGTAAACATGTCCATTTAAATGACCAAGCATAAGCTTTTAGA